GGACAGACGGACAGACGGACATGGCTATATCGACTCGGCTAGTGACCCTGATCAAGAATATATATACTTTATAAAGTCGGAAACGCTTCCTTCTAGCTGTTAAATACTTTTGCACGAATACAATATACCCTTTTACTCTACGAGTAACGGGTATAACAAGATTCCTCAGGTCTCTCTGCCAAGTTTTTTTTTTTTTCTATTTTTTAAGGCACTTGAAAGTCAAAAACCCCGACCAAAACGTTGAGATATTTGTTGCTCTAAAAATTATAAATAATAAAAAAAACAAGAAAGGAAAGCTAACTTCAGGCGGAGCCGAAGTTGAAATACCCTTGCAGAATATTCTTTAAATTATATTCTCAAAAATTATTCATATGATGCATTCTTAATACTCATAAAAATTCCAACTTCCTAACTTTAAAAACACCAAAGTTATGGCATTTCCAATCGTTCAGTTTTATGGAAGCTATAGAATATTGTATGCTGATCCTAATGAAATTTTATATGTCGGATTGATTGGCCAAAAATAAAACCCATAGAAAATCCCAACTTCCTAACTTAACAAACACCAAAGTTATGGTATTTCCGATCAATCAGTAATATGGCGGCTTTAGGATATAGTCGGCCGATCCCGGCCGTTCCGATTTATATACTGCGTGCAAAGGAAAGAAGGTGTGTGCAAAGTTTCAATTCGATATCTTTAAAACTGATAGACTAGTTTACGTAGAAACAGACAGACGAAAAGACGGTCATGCTTATATCAACTCAGGAGGTGATCCTGATCAAGAATATATATACTTTATAGGGTCGGAGATGTCTCCTTCACTGCGTTGCACACTTTTGACCAAAATTATAATACCCTCTGCAAGGGTATAAAAAAAACTCGGCAGCGGGACCTAAGGAATTTAGTAGAAACAAGAAAGGAAAGCTAACTTCGGGCGGAGCTGAAATTGATATACCCTTGCAGAATATTCTTTAAATTATATTCTCCAAAATCGGATCGGTTGTCCAAAAATAAAACCCATAAAAAATCCCAACTCCCTAACTTAACAAACACCAAAGTTATGGCATTACCGATCAATCAGTTATTGGCGGCTATAGGAGATAGTCGCCCGATCCCTGCCGTTCCGACTTATTTACTGCGTGCAAAGGAAAGAAGGGTGTCAAAGTTTCAATTCGATATCTTTAACTCTAAGAGACTAGTTTCAATTCGATATCTTTACCTCTAAGAGACTAGTTCGCGTAGAAACAGACAGACGGACATGCTTATATCAACATAGGACGGATTCTGAGCAAGAATATATATACTTTATAGAGTCGTAGATGTCGCCTGTACTGCGTTGCACACTTTTGACCAAAAATATAATATCCTCAGCAAGGACATTGCTATATCGACTCCCCTATTGATTTTGATCAAGAATATATATACTTTATAGGGTCGGAAACGTCTCCTTCACTGCGTTACAAACTTCTGACCAAAATTATAATACCCTCTGCAAGGGTATAAAATGTCATTTGAATAATGAGCCCCAATCAATCTTTCTTGTTATTGCATAATTTGATGGTAAACATATAATCAACAATAGAAAATATTAAGTACCCATTAAAATATTTTCACAAAAAAGTTAACAACAAAGAACAGGCAAAATTAAAACGGTTTTGCAGTGTACAATTTGTATATGCGCCCCGCATGCGATTCTGTGATTTGTGTTGAAAATATGCAAATATCCCAATAACTGACTGCCAGAAAATACTATTGTAAAAACAACAGAAAACCGGAAAGCAGAAAAAGGTAAAACTCTCTCGTGTGACATGTGCTCCTACTTTTTCAAACATTTAGCCGCATCAAACATTTTGGCCGCTAGGTTATTTAAAGTACAATTTTACAGTACCATTTTGCTTTAAGAATAATATAATTTTCTAATTCACACTAAACGCCTCCGCAAAGTTGACCCCTATTAATTATAAAACTTTCCATCCAACTACCGCTCTTCCACCAAATCCATGGAGATTGCACATCGGTTTTCAGCAATCGCCAAAAAGAGAAAAAGAGAAAACAAAAACCTTTAAATTCTCTGGGCTCCTGGTGCTAAGGGGTTTGAGTTTGGCTTTGACTTCCCATTTTCAGTTCTGGCAATTGAGGAGATCGTTGTGGGAAGACAGTAGCAGTAAAGTGCAAATTGCCTTCGTTAGATGAAGTCAGAAGTGTTTTCTCATTCTCTTGGCGCACAATAGAGGTTTCAACTTTTGAAATACATATACATTCTCTAAGGATATTTAAACCAACACCTTTGATATAATGGCGAACTAAGCGAAAACACATTAAATAATTTTGAGACCTTTGTTATTATTTTTCTACAATTTTCATGGATTATTTATTTAAAACCCATGGAGGCATTGTTTTCATAGAAGTCAATCGCATAGCAATAGTAGAAAAGGTACTACAATTTTTAAGTCCGATTTCTAGCAGTTTTTTGCTTCCAGAAGATAATAGAAGCAGCCAAGGCTACCACCTCGCCTCACACAATCCAGCTGAAAATGCTGTGTGCTCTTAAAGACAGAGGGGAAACAATTGGGCGGATATTACTGCGAGTGTTAGTGGGAGATAACTCGGCATTTTGTAAAGCAAAAAATATTTTTCTTACAAAATCAAAAAAGCTATTATAAACAGAAAGAACGCTTTAGACAAGCGTACAGTGGCAAAATATACATATAACATACTTAAAAGATGTTGACCTTTAATAACTTTTTTTAATTGTCAGATTTTTAAAATTGTTTTCATTGTTTTATATTTTTTAGATTGGCGACGCCCAGTGGACTGCAGAAATCGCTGATACCACTGAATCTTTCCTGGGAGTGACTTAGAATTAGGTATGGCGGTAGCCAAATGCGAGCTGAATCGATAAGCGTGTGGCATGCAACCGACGACCGACTGGCGACTCTTTGCCGGCACTTGTTGTTGCTGGTGGGTGGTCGATTGGTTGGCTGAGCGCAAAGTGGGTGGCGGAGGCGGTTGGGGAAGGTGTCGCCATAAAAGTTTGACTGCCCTGCGCTGATGTAATACCGCAAGACGATTTTGCCTTGCACGTCATATGGCTGAACAAGCAGTAGAAAACAACAACAAAAACTCTGAATAAAAGCCGGCTAAAAGGTGCTCTTCGCTCGCTCTCTCTATCTCTTCAGCTCTTGCTTTCTACTCTCTCCATTTCTCTCTTAGCTGCACATGCGCGGTGTCTTGAAAATGAAGGAAGGATTAACCTTACAATTTGTGCCCAATGTGAAATGTGTAACTCTATTCAAACTACAGTATTCACTGCAAAATATGAATCCAAGGGATCTTAATTTGACCTAGGGATTAAAGAGTAGAAGCGTTTGAAATCCAACAAATTACTTTAGTTGTTACAAGCACCAGTCGGTAATTGAGGCGTGGGAAAGTTTAAGTTAGCGAATATTAACTATACATGTTTTCATAACCATTAACATAACACTTATTAATTTTCAACAAGGTATAGGGAACAGAGTGTTATTTCTGGGAACAGCTACTGTACTCGCCGGAATGCAAATTGACGGATTCCTTTTTCTCTACTATATGCAGCCTTATACATTGCCATGGCAAGTTGACGAATCAGCTGTTTTGCACAGTCACTGGAAGGCAGAGCTGGAAAGGAGAGCTAAATGGCCTGAGAACGAGTTCCAGGCCGAATGCGGGTCCGGGTGCGATGTGGGACCCCGGCCGGCCACAGCTGTCGGCCCAAACAAGCCAAAAGCCATATGCTATTGATTTTCTGTGCCATTTTGCCCATTTTTTCTGCCTTGGTTCCATGTTTCTTTTTATTTTTCATGTTGCTTGTTACTTACTTTACGCTTACGCGTTTGGGATTGGTGTCGAGCGCAATGCAAGTTAATTTATTCGAGACTCCAAATAAATTCTCTCTATGTTGTCTAAAAACAAGTAAAGAAATATTGCATGCCTCAGTTAAGAGAAACCCTTTGGGGAATGCTAGGGAAAAATAAACAATTAGCAAATGGTAGAATCTTTGGGTTTATTAATCGTTGTAAGATATAATGAATCAATATATAATGAATGAATGATAAATAAGCAACTTAATCGGATTTTCAAGATACAATAGAAATTTTGCATAAAAGTGCAAACTTTGAATTTGAATTATGAACCTTAATATAATATAATTATGTATAGCGAAAATTTCCGCTGTGGTCCCTTAAGACCGACCACACAGTGTAAGAAATAACCCAAAATTAAAAATGCACCCTAATGCAACATATTTTCGGGCGAGCCATTACTCAGGACGAATCACCCCATTTTTTAGGTATTGCAGCCCCCTTTCAGTTGTCGGCTGCAAGTATGCAATAAAAATCTATTATGTGTCATACACACAAGACTCACACTCACTCATATACACACGCGAATTCAGACACAACTGTTGTATATAAATCAAACGAAATGGGCGCTATAAACGAAATACTCGCTGTCTGCAAACTGGGCTAAAGGAAAACAGTAACTCGAGGACTGCTGTACAGAAAAAAATGATTCGTGTCTTGAAACTAATATTATCAATAAGTATAATTTTAATACAATTCCATATAGAAAGTAATTGCATATTATATTATTTTTATTGTTTAATTAACAGGTAACCAAAGAGATATTTGCATGATACAAAAAATATCCAAAGCATCAATTATATCAGAGGTGTCATAGAAATCTATTTTAACCAATTTTCAAACCAAATCAAACCTCAGTGTCACATAAACCCCTTCGATTTCGACTATCAACTATAAAGTATATTTTAATTTTTTTTTCCAAAAAAAAACTAAGCAAAACTACTTTGGAACACATCGAGAACTGATTCTTTGACACCCACGAATCTTTGTTAGATTTGCGATAAGTACAAATTTTTTTATGCCTAGCTTAAAGGTAATGTCAGATTGCAAAATACTTATTATTTAGTTGTAACGATTATTCAGGGCCATTACACGTTACTCACCTTGTCTACCGGCATTGATGGGCACGCTCTGCACAGATTCCAGAATGAGCCAATCATAGGGAAATGCTTTTGCTGTTTTCCAAACCAAGGTGCCAAAAATACAAATCAATCACGTTCACGTTGGGGCTTATATATTCTCGATTCGACGATTGGCTTTGCTTTTTTTAAGTTTTCATGGGTGAAACACTCGCGCTTTGCCTTTAAACTTGAATATATCCCCTTCCCTTACTTTATTGTCCTCTCTCTCAGTCTCTAGCTCACTCTCTATACGGACACGCACCTATATGCGTGGTGAAGAAAGTGCGTTTGTATTGTCATAGGCCAAATTAGATTAGACTTCCGCTGCGAGGAGAAATTGAGGCGTGAGAAAAAGTATTGCATACCAGCAGGCGCCTTGCTACAGTGATGATCTCATGCACACATACACACAACGAACATTTTTTAATGGGCCCCCGAATGTTAGCGTAATTAGCCAATAACAACTTGATTATATAGGGCAAACTATTTTTATAGGACAATACAGACTTTAACTTGTGCGAGAGTCGCGTTCAGATTCTTATTTTTATGGCAAATCGATATCTATTTTTCACGGCAGCCTTGTGGTATGCAATACTTTTTAGCCGCTTTGTGCTAGCTGCAATTTCCTTTCTTTCGCCGTTTTTTCTTTGCGGTCGTGATCACTGAAGCGAATCTTTGGTGAAATATGTAATAGCCCAGAAACTTCAGGTGCACAGAGAAACACACTTTAAGCCGATTTGCTTCCTGCTTTCTGCGCTGTCACTGCTGCCTTCTTATATATCGATTCTGATCTAGCTCTTTCGATTTCAACTCGACGACGTTACGAACACGACTGAACCTGAACTGAAAGGCCTCAGAAAATAATCCACCGACCGAAGCCAAAGCGTCGGCGTTGGAGTTGACGCAGGGCCTGGAAGTTTTGGGGGAGAGTGATTTGGAAATGGAATCGCGAATGGAAGCCACACTAACATATGTTCGCATGGGCGTCGATGTGTTCAAGGAAGTGTAGAAAAAACGTTGAATACGAATAAACTTCGGATTAGGACCGTTCTAATTTATTAAAATGTAAACTCTGTGGGCTTTGCCTTTCAAAAACCTGTTAACGCTGACATGCGCAATGTGAACGGTTAACGTCACAGCAGACCACAACAGCTGCTTTACAGAGAAACCATTATTTCCGCGCAGTGTTTTAAATTTTTGAAGAATTAAGGTTTTTGCATGAGAATTCTCAAACTTTATTTTTAATTGTAATTTAAATATAATAATCCTAATAAGGTAACAAAAATTAACTGATGTTTTGTTAAATTTATTGATTTGGACTTTATGATGAAGTACACAATTTAATTTCATTTTGTAAATTCTATTAAAAAATATATTATTTTAAAAAAAATTAAATTTGTATTAATCCTACTTTGAGAATCGACCCCAGATCAAAAAATCCTCAGGTCAGCCAAAAAAACCTGGATTAAAAAATCTTTTGAGGTGTCTGTTGTCAGAACAAAGTGTTTCGAAGATCAAAAATGGTCAGAAAACCCCAACAAAAACAAAATTACCAAATAATAATCAGTACTTACAAAAAAAACAACGGTTAAATTTAAATTGTATTGTTTTTAATTTCTTTGTACAACGGCAGACTTGTCTTTCCAAGGTAGAAGATTTTTGAATTGTTACTCCTTGTTAAAGCCTAGTATCCAGATCGACGAAAACCGTACGCCAGTCATGAGAGAGAACGAGAGGCAAACAGCTGGCGTTCACTTTTCGTCGGGCGTTTTTTTTCACGTCGGTCCCCTGATCGACGAAAAAAATACCAGAAAATTCCATAGCGTTGCCAGTCTGCGGAAATGAGTTTTGGGTGAACCATAGCGAAAAGATTAAAAAATTTAATCTTTTGGCGTGCGCTTCTCACTGAACATTATAAAGCCTAGTATCCAGATCGACAAACGATTACGCTAGCGTAAAAACTTTAATCTTTCCAGTGTGATCAAAAGTTTGAGAGTTCATCAGATTTAAGCGTGCTACGGTCGTACTGTCAATCAGCTGGGTTTGTTGACAAGCAGTTAAAATTCAAATATCGTATTTGCGGGAAAGAGCCTTTAAATGATATTATCAAATACCTTGGCAAGACAAGTCTGCCGCTGTACAAAGAAATTAAAAAACAATACAATTTAAATTTAACAGTTGTTTTTTTTAATTTAAGCCTAGTATCCACTTCGACGTAAACCGTGCGCCAGTCATGAGAGAGAGCGAGAGGCAAACAGCTGGCGTTCACTTTTCGTCGGGCCTTTTTTTCACTTCGGTCTCCTGATCGACGAAAAAAATACCAGAAAATTCCATAGCGTTGCCAGTCTGCGGAAATAAACTTTGGGTGAACCCTAGCGAAAAGATTAAAAAATTTAATCTTTTGGCGTGCGCTTCTCACTGAACATTATAAGAAATGGAGGGAAAAACTCAAAAAACTCACAAAAGTCGATTGCAGGTGTTTACATGTGAGGACAAAATAACATTAATACTATCTGGGGTGCCTCTTGTCAGAGCAAAATGTTTTTTAGGTCCAGAATGTACGAAAAAACACAATAAAAGTGCAGCTATGAACTTTAAATTAGCAAATAATTATCAGTAAATTAAAAAAAAGAACTGTTAATTTTAAATTGTATTGTTTTTTAATTTCTTTGTACAGCGGTAGACTTGTCTTGCCAAGGTATTTGATAATATCTTTTAAAGGCTCTTTCCCGCAAATACGATATTTGAATTTTAACTGCTTGTCAACAAACCCAGCTGATTGACAGTACGACCGTAGCACGCTTAACTCTGATGAACTCTCAAACTTTTGGTCACACTGGAAAGATTAAAGTTTTTACGCTAGCGTAATCGTTTGTCGATCTGGATACTAGGCTTTACTGATAATTATTTGCTAATTTAAAGTTCATAGCTGCACTTTTATTGTGTTTTTTCGTACATTCTGGACCTAAAAAACATTTTGCTCTGACAAGAGGCACCCCAGATAGTATTAATGTTATTTTGTCCTCACATGTAAACACCTGCAATCGACTTTTGTGAGTCTTTTGAGTTTTTCCCTCCATTTCTTATAATTTTCAGTGAGAAGCGCACGCCAAAAGATTAAATTTTTTAATCTTTTCGCTAGGGTTCATCCAAAGTTTATTTCCGCAGACTGGCAACGCTATGGAATTTTCTGGTATTTTTTCGTCGATCAGGGGACCGACGTGAAAAAAAGGCCCGACGAAAAGTGAACGCCAGCTGTTTGCCTCTCGCTCTCTCTCATGACTGGCGTACGGCTTACGTCGAAGTGGATACTAGGCTTAAGAAATGGAGGGAAAAACTAAAAAAACTCACAAAAGTCGATTGCAGGTGTTTACATGTGAGGACAAAATAACATTAATACTATCTGGGGTGCCTCTTGTCAGAGGAAAATGTTTTTTAGGTCCAGAATGTACGAAAAAACACAATAAAAGTGCAGCTATGATCTTTAAATTAGGAAATAATTATCAGTAAATTAAAAAAAACAACTGTTAAATTTGTAATATCTTTGTACAGCGGCAAACTTGTCTTGCCAAGGTATTTGATAATATCATTTAAAGGCTCTTTCCCGCAAATACAATATTTGAATTTTAACTGCTTGTCAACAAATCCAGCTGATTGACAGTACGACCGTAGCACGCTAAAATCTGATGAACTCTCAAACTTTTGGTCACACTGGAAAGATTAAAGTTTTTACGCTAGCGTAATCGTTTGTCGATCTGGATACTAGGCGTTAGCTCTGACAAGAGGCACCCCAGATAGTATTAATGTTATTTTTTCCTCACATGTAAACACCTGCAATCGACTTTTGTGAGTTTTTTGAGTTTTTCCCTCCATTTCTTATAATGTTCAGTGAGAAGCGTACGCCAAAAGATTACATTTTTAATCTTTTCGCTAGGGTTCACCCAAAGTTCATTTCCGCAGATTGGCAACGCTATGCAATTTTCTGGTATTTTTTTCGTCGATCTGAGTAGCGACGTGAAAAAAAGGCCCGACGAAAAGTGAACGCCAGCTGTTTGCCTCTCGCTCTCTCTCATGACTGGCGTACTGTTTTCGTCGATCTGGATACTAGGCTTAAAGCCTAGTATCCAGATCGAAAAACGATTACGCTAGCGTAAAAACTTTAATCTTTCCAGTGTGACCAGAATTTCGAGAGTTCATCGGATTTAAGCGTGCTACGGTCGTACTGTAAATCAGCTGGGTTTGTTGACAAGCAGTTAGAATTCAAATATCGTATTTGCGGGAAAGAGCCTTTAAAAGATATTATCAAATACCTTGTCAAGACAAGTCTGCCGCTGTACAAAGAAATTGAAAAACAATACAATTTACATTTAACAGTTGTTTTTTTAAATTTACTGATAATTATTTGCTAATTTAAAGTTCATAGCTGCACTTTTATTGTGTTTTTTCGTACATTCTGGACCTAAAAAACATTTTGCTCTGACAAGAGGCACCCCAGATAGTATTAATGTTATTTTGTCTTCACATGTAAACACCTGCAATCGACTTTTGCGAGTTTTTTGAGTTTTTCCCTCCATTTCTTATAATGTTCAGTGAGAAGCGCACGCCAAAAGATTAAATTTTTTAATCTTTTCCGCTAGGGTTCACCCAAAGTTAATTTCCGCAGACTGGCAACGCTATGGAATTTTCTGGTATTTTTTTCGACGATCAGGAGACCGACGTGAAAAAAAGGCCCGACGAAAAGTGAACGCCAGCTGTTTGCCTCTCGCTCTCTCTCATGACTGGCGTACGGTTTTCGTCGATCTGGATACTAGGCTTAAGACCCCAAAATTCAATGAATTATTATTTTCATATATATGCGTATAAAAATAGCAGCGTCTCACTGCATCTTGACGAGAATCTAATTTTTTTTTCACAAACGCTCGTTATCATAAATAATATTCAATTTCAACAAAATTTCAGAGAATTTACAGAGGACTTATCACGAACAACATCGACTTTTTCCGTCTATTTCTAGCAAATTTATTTTTTATTCCAGAAAGAGGCGCTGTTTTGCAATGAGGTCGCTGTCGCAGAAACGCCGACTGTGTGTGTAAGCAGGCTTCAATTGATAGAGCTGGAAAACATCGATACTTGCTTGCATCGATAGGCCGAACGCGGGACCTAGGCGTTCTAATATCGATTTCTTATAGGGCGAAGTGTGTTCCATCGATAATTTCGTGTTTACTAGATGATTCGCATACGGCGCGCAATTTGTGAACAAGTGAGTGCAACTTTGATAAGACTGAACAATAGTAGACTTATCTAAGCTTCCACCTTGCAGCTGCCGCACTTGAAGAATGCGTGCCATGCCCTGGAGGTGCCAGCCAAGAATCAGGTGCTCCAAAATGCCCGGCGACCGACTTTGGAGTGGATTCTCCCATCTGCGGTTGCGCAACAGGAGCGGGAACTACTTGAAATGGTCAAGGAGCACAGATTCGATGACACCTATGTAGAGAAAGTCCGGGTGGTGCCCAGTGCCGCGCGCAGAGCGGCCAAGATCGAGTTCCAGTTGCAGCCACAGATTTTTGTGGAGCAGCTCCTTCAAACTAAGCTGAGTACTTCCAAGCCTTACCCTTCTCCAACGGAACACATCCTGGTAGAGTACAGCTCGCCGAACATAGCCAAACCCTTTCACGTGGGGCACTTGCGCTCCACTATCATCGGCAATGTCCTAGCCAATCTCCACCAGCATTTGGGCTATCGAACCACCCGCTTGAACTACCTTGGAGATTGGGGCACGCAGTTTGGTCTACTGGCACTGGGCGTAATACTGGAGAATGTAACCGACGAAGAGATGCAGGTATCTCCCATTGAAGTGCTGTACAAATCCTATGTAGCTGCCAACAAGGCAGCTGAAGAGAGTCCGGAAATTGCCAAGCGAGCACGTGATCTCTTCGCCGCTTTGGAAGCGGGCACAGATGAAACTATGGCCAAGCAATGGCAGCAGTATAGAAAGTATACCATAGAGGATCTATCTAAGGTTTACAAGCGATTAGGGGTCCATTTCGATAGCTACGAGTGGGAATCCCAGTACTCCCAAATGCAAATTCTTGATATCCTGGATAAGCTTCGGCATGCTGGACTCCTGCAACCAGAACAAGATGGTCGTGAGATTGTAGTAATAGATGGTAGACGCATACCCATTATCAAGAGTGATGGCTCCACTTTGTATCTGGCCAGAGATATTGCTGCTCTGCTGGAGAGGCTATCCAGGTTCCAGTTCTCCCGTTTGCTTTATGTGGTAGACAATGGCCAGGCGGATCATTTTAACGCCCTATTTAAAACAGCGGTCGCTGTGGAGTCTCGCCTTAATCTGGATCAGTTGCAGCACGTAAAATTCGGCCGCATTCATGGGATGAGCACTCGTCAGGGAAAGGCCATCTTTTTAAAGGATGTCCTGGATGAAGCTCGTGATATAATGCGAGAGAAACGAAACTTCACTGCAAGTCTGTCCGAAATACCTTCCATAAGCTATTATATCTCACTCAAAACATTATTTTCTAGCAACCAAGAAAAACCAAACTCTAGATGACGAGAATGTGTGTGATATCCTGGGGATTTCAGCCGTCCTAGTCAATGTCCTTAAGCAGCGTCGGCAACGAGATCACGAGTTCAGCTGGATGCAGGCGCTCCAAGTGAATGGGGATACGGGAATCAAGCTTCAATACACACACTGCCGCCTGTCCAGTTTGCTGGATAACTTCCGAGAAGTGGATCTGGACGGCATCAAGCCCAACTGGATGCATTTCGCCGAAGAGCCAGAGGATGCTTTGGATCTCGTCTACGAATTGGCACGCTTCGATCAAAGCATTTGGCGGTCGAAAGAGCAACTCGAGGCATGTGTGCTAGTAAACTATCTTTTTGTATTGTGGTAAGTAAAGTGTGTCAAAAAAACCATCAGAATCCTGTCCCAATTATAAAATCCTGGCAGCGTAAAAATTTCTTTTAAATGATTACTTCCTCAGTTTTTTGCTCAAAAAAAAGTAGTTATTTTATAGGTTTTTTATTTCTCCCACAAAAAAATGGATATTTGTAGAGTGTTGTTCTCAGCTTCATAAATAACGATTATTCTGTGAGTTTTACTTTCAGCTTAAAAGTTTTATTTTCTGAAAAAACCCTTATAACTTAATGTTCTCTGATTTATTTTAATATAGAAGCAATCAAATCAAAAGTGGTAGAGAACTATGTTATATATCAACACCGAACATTTAAAGACTATTCAACAGCCAAAACCCACAAATAAAAGTATTTTTTTTTGTCTTGAGAACTATTGAGGAGTAGACTTCCAAATTCAAACTAAGCTAAAGCAATTATTTCATAACTTGTAATTATGTAGATCTGAATTCAACAAAAAAAAAAACGATTTAAATTGAAAATGTCCAACTTCTTCACAAAATACTTCTAAAGGCTTGAGAAACTATAAGCAAATTACATTTTGTATTATTTGTTGTGTTCATTGCATAATGAATAATTAATCTTCTTTGGTGTTCTCCTTTACCCAACATTGAGTTGTAAAAAAAATAATTCAATTTCTCATTCATTTATTAATTCAAGACAGCAACAGCATGTTCTGCGGTAGTCTTCAGGTAGCCACAACTTCTATGGTTGTTATAGAGTGTTTGGTTCAGTTTATATAAAAGTTATCAGAACAACTTATCTCGAAAAAACTTATTTCATGACCAATGTAGAGGTGCATTTATAAGTTACATTTTTTAAGGCATTTAAGAGAGTTTAGATTTAAACGACAGACCTTACAGCAAAAACTTATCTCGGGAGAGAAGCCTTTGCAAAATAAGAGTATTCGATAATGTTCAATATTTTTAACCAATCTCGCAATAGGACCCTTGTCAAATCACAGTCTCCTCAATGGGATAAAACTAGAAAATTTGGAGACATTAATTTTAAAAACAGAAGGTCAACAAAAAACATTTGAGAACAATATTATGTTAAAATTAATTAATAATTTTATTATGTTTTGTATAATAAAATTGTGGAATATATGCCAAAATCAGTCAGCACTTATGAAATCTTATGAAACCTATAATTGTTCTCCTCTTTTAGCAGTAGTAGTATTCATTATAGCAGGCTATACAAGGAAACACTTGCTAATGAAACATTAAATGAGATTTCGGAGGCCTTCAGTCTGCAATTTTTGTATTTTCCTATGGGAGCTATATGATATAAATGTCCGATTTTAATTTAATTAAAACCGTAATTACATCGTATTACAATATTACCATATCCCAAAAAAAAATTAATGACAACAAAGTTATACTTTTTAAAATTTTTTTCGATTGTTTCTATGGGAGTTATATTATATAGTCGTCCGATCCGGGTTTTGAAGCTTTAATCCACTTGGTAATTTGGGCGTCATAAATTATGATGAATAGAAAAATACTTGTATTTTATTTAACAAATTAAACAGTGTCATGAAGGAATCAAAATCTCAGCCAGACGAATAATTATCATAGGAATGCTTAGATTTAAAACAGGAGTCTTCTGTGACCATAATATATGTTGTTAAGATAATTTTAATACAAAAATCCATATTTTTGTACATTATTGAGTTGTTTAAAAAAATATTCTACATATATACACAACTGAGTAAATTAAACAATTACGTAGTTTATTATTGACAATGTTTTCTTTTATTTAACCCTCTAGCAATACCACCAGTCGAGCGCTTAAACGATTACCTGTGAAGCATGAAAAGTGCCTGCAAAGGCAATCCCAGCGCCTGCTCCTTTTCCACGCTGCCAAAAAAACTCTACAGCAGGGAATGCAGCTGTTGGGCCTACGACCACTCGACCAAATGTAAACCAAAAACACCTCAACCTAAATCCTTTAACATAATTGATTTTTATTAAAACGATTTGGTCTGAAATGCAAAAAGAGCTTTGTCGATGCACGTGCCCTTTTAGCGCTTCTTCCACGTGTACTTGCGGCGAGCTCCTTCCTGTCCAAACTTCTTACGCTCTCGGCGACGATAGTCACGTGTCAGCAGGCCAGCTGAAACATAAATTGCAATTAGCGGCAATAAGCCTATTGAGGCGGCTACATAGCCCCCTATACACTTACCCAGACGCATTGACTCAATCATCTCTTGATCGACAAAGCTGCGCAAACTCATCGCGATGCCCCAGCGGATGGCTCCAGCCTGACCGGAAGGTCCGCCTCCCTCGACATTGGCCTCCACATCGACTTTGCCCAGCAGTTCGCTAAATTGCAGCGGGAAGAGCAACTGGAAAAATCGAGATAACGAAATAGCGAATGAGAATGAGATATTGGCGTGGCCACCGTTAGATGTCAAGTTCGAGCGCCCGGGGCAGCCATTGTACGGATTTCCCCGTAATCAAAATGATGCTGCGTAGCACTTCCTGCACAACAATGAGAGTTTATAATAGCGAATTTGTTAGCCAAATTAAATGTCTGTCGGCCGCGGCCACTAAACTGCAACAAATTGTCGCATGTCCGCCTGACAATTAGCAAACTCGACAATCGAGTGGGTGGGAGCTCAAAGGTGAGTTCTGCCAACCACGGCTAGGTGTGATTTAAATTAAAAAATGTTAAGTTCGGATAATTTAAAGCCGCTTGAAATGATCTGCACACGCTTCCTTGAGCAGTGAGTAATGCACCATCACAATCACAAACTGATCAAAACTAAAAGGGAAAAAATCACAAATTTAAATTAACTGTTAAATGACAAAGCGGGCTGCTGGTTCATATTAGCCAGCTGATTGCGACATAGGAACCTGTCATTATAACATTCCATTTCTGTCAAAATCTTTCGCGAGATGCCAAAAAATACTTAAAACCAGTGGGCAAAAATATATTTGAAATTGAAGAACGCATCGACGATGTCAGGGCTATCGTTACTGATACCGATAAAAATGTAATAAAAAGTAATACGCGTTGAAGAAAAATGACTCTTTAGAAACTAGTAATGTTCATATGTAAGGCAAAAAATTATATATAACTCAAAGGGTTGAACTGAACAAAGCTAATTTTAAACATTTTACATTAGATAGACTTGTTTTTAATTTATTGAGTTTACTTATTTCTCTTACTTTCGACGGTATTAAGTTAATATTTTCAAATTCATGTAATATTATTTGGCGATTCGACATCCCTGGTAGATCAATTCACACTACAAAACATACAAATCGAACAAAACATAAGAAAAAAAAATTAAAAACAACAAAGTTACACTTTTTTACATTTTTTTTCCGATTGTTCCTATGATATGATATGTCGCCCGATCCGGCTCGTTCCCACTTATATACTACCTGCAATAAAAAGACAATTTTTGGGAAAGTTTCAAGGAGATACCTTTAAAACTGAGGGACTGGTTTGCATAGAAACGGACAGACGGACATGGCTAGATCGACTCTCCTGGTGATGTTGATCAAGAATATATATACTTTATAGGGAAATGTCTCCTTCACTGCGTTGCAAACTTTTGATTGAAATTATAATACACTCTGCATGGGTATAATAATAACTCGTGAAATCGAAATCTGGACCAAAATATCAATAATAAAATAGTTCTTATTTAGAACACAGCTGTTTTACAAATTTCAAAGATCAAAACAAATCGTAAATATTTCTTTTTTTCATTTGTAGTTTTCGACAATTATTTGTATTCGACTGCGTTGGAAACAATGTTAAGGGGCTTGACAAAAGTATATCCCAACCACGCTCGGAGGAACACAGACAATAAACGTTATGACTAAAAAACAATAAACAACAAAACTACGAAAATAAAGCAGCTTTAAACTTTGTTGTTCCTGTCTTTATTATTTCGCAAACCAAATCGTCAATCACTGAAAATTTGACAGATAAACAATAAATGGGGAAAGAGACACATTGCGATTTGTTTAAACAATTTGCTAGATGACTTCACGCAACAACAATAAACATAATAAAGGCTTACGAACAAGATTTTTAAATTAATGTAGGTTCACAACACACAAAAGCGTGAGTGCCAAAGACCAGGGACAGAAATGCTTAATTGGCTGCTATAAAAATAGCAACAGATTTGCAGAAAAGTGACGAGGCAACTAATAAAACTGGTTTCCTCAACTTCAGGGTTTCCCAAATCGCAAATCTCTCTTAATGTCACCGTTGGGATGTCTGCGGGTGGTGTTTTCAATGGAAAGCAGCCTACCGGCTTCTCAGTGGTTCAAGAAAATTTTGCGGCAACATTTTATTATGATTTAAATGAATTTTATCGTTTGTCATATGTATGAGCGAAGTCGACTCGACAAAGAGCCCCGAAGATCTCGTTCGGCCGACTAACTGTGCAAGTGTAACAGTGTCGGATATGGGGGATATAATATACATACTAAACGTACATCTACTTCATTGGCGCTCGTTCGTGCGGCTTAGTTTAGGACACTCATATCGCGTACAATATCATTTCGGCGCAGTTCTTTTTATCAGTCGATCCAACGGCGTTAAGCGCGCGCCTTAAGTGTCGGAAAATTTTACAACGCCCAAAGGAATTTCTATCCTAACTTTCTAGCATAAAAAAGGGATTATTTTGTAGTTCAAAGTGTCGCGACAATTTATTATAAGCCGGCACTGGGGCTGCAATTAAAAGCGGACAAGCATTGGAACAATGTAAATTAAATTGAAAAAAAAGTGCAATTTATAAAAATTTTAGTTTAAGAATTACATTTTAAATATAAACTTGCACTTAGGTAAACACATAAATATTGTATGCAAAATATAACAATTTGCATTTCATAATAAGTGGACTCATAATTAATTTAACCATTTTAAACGAGCATTAAAGAATAATAATTAATAAACCAGAACGATAACGAAAATAGAGTAGAAAACTTTTCTAATTTAGCAATAGCCGTGTAAGTCCTAATAACTTGTTAGAAATCAGTAGATCCCAGCAAATTTTCATTAAAAAATCATCAAAATGAACAATAAACGATCTCTATAACCGAGAGATTTACAGCTTATGAATACCAATTGAGATTTGTTTACACTCTGTGCGAAGCTTTTGTCAACTTCATTATCCTTTAATTCGGACACTACACAATTCAATTGCAACTGCATCATAGGCGTACGGATATATATAATTCAGATCGAGCAATGAGTTACTGTACGGCGTAGTGTGGAAAATGGACATGCGCCTCAGGTTCAAGGGCATTATAAAAGCAACGCAAAAATAAAACTTAACTCAGCCCAATGCGTTTGCTCACATAATAACCCCCCTTAAGTCCCCCACAAAAGCGCGAGTAAAAAGAAGAAAAAATGTCAAATTGATTTCAATTATAATTGAATCAACGAGCGGCGAAAAGAAATACCCGAGAAAGTTAACGAACGATCACGAAGATCGTTCGAGAATCGCAATTTCCACCGCTCGATGGCGGCGCAGTTTTCCAAAATGGCCGGCGGCGGTCTGTAATAACGCGAAAACGGCAAGTGCCACTTCCGGGCCTTCAAAACGAACAAAAGCTAATCGCGTTCCACCAACGCGCTATTTAAAGTCTAACACTTTTTGCAACTGCAATAATATAAGAAAGTATTAATTGATTAGGCGATTTCCAGCAATTCACACATTGCGGCAAAAGTGGCAGCAAATTTGGTAGCCGCACGGGGGCGTTTTTAAATAAATATTTGTTTAGTGTGTTAGCGACGTTTAGGAGTCACAGACTGCGAAAACCAAGACGAAACCCTACACAAAGAGAAATAAAATAATTTACGGATTGATTTAACAACATTATTGCCATCAAATTCAAATAATTTAAAAGTTTTTGAAACTCATCGCTATGTACAACTATTTGTTCGTTCTCAAAAAAGTTTTTTTCTCTGATACAGACTCTAACGAATCAAAAAACTGGTTTCTTAACTACGCACAGAATTTGATTAATTTGCTCGCATAATTTAGCCGATTAGTCAATTTCAGCCGAAGTTTATTGTCGTTACCTTGTTTATCGCCAAAGCTGCTTAATCAGTCAGCGGATTTTGGTTTTGCCTAATCAAAGAAAGTTTCTCATGTGTTGTCGGTGGACAAACAGAAACTCATTTTTTCGATTGTCATTTGTTTTTGTTTATATTTTGCAAACAAGTTTAAAAGATTCCCAGAATCGCTTAGGAATTGTTTACGGTAATCCGATGCCAAAAGAAATGCAACAAATGGAACCTAAACAAGCTTAACGCTTCGCTAATTTATTAAATCTAATGTAACACTGTAACAGTCTACCTGAAATTACCTAATCAGGTGAGAAAAAGCTGAAGAATACCAAACTATCCATGTATGCCGACCAGGGTAATATTTTCTAAATAAAACAGAAGTGTGCATATTTCTAAAATAAAAATAAATGGGGAGAACAAATAATGTGATTAAAATCGTAAACAACATGAGATTGGGGGAGAATGTCGAATAAAAAAATAAATAAATAAATAAATATGCATAAATAGGAAAATAAGGAAAGGTGAACTGGAATATACATTTAAAAATATTTAGATTTTACTAAACATGGAAACGTAAGAAAACAAATATAAGTCAAATTCTTATATGTGAAAAAAATAAATCCATTTTTGGTTTCTGAACTGAACCGCTGCTGACCGTAAGAATCTGCTTACAAAATGAATGAATAAGTACTTCCATTTCGACGTTGACATAAATTGTAAATAATATGAGCAAACAAAATCAAACGCAAATAAAGCATGGGTGTGTCTGAAGGGGGTTGTCTGCCCATATGAACAATTCGTTTAACATACCCAGAAAAGAGAAAAAACCAGAACCAGTAGCACTTTTAGATAAATCCCCAGATAGTCTGGCGATAATGGTGAAGATTGTGATGATGTGGGCTTATCGCTGCGTCAAAAGGAAGGCGCTTAGATAACTGCGGCCACGAGTGTCGCATCCAACGCACAAAGACCTATCTTACCTGGAATCCAGCAAGTTAGGGAAAGTAACCCAGCCAGTTGTAGGAGTAATCCAAAGAAAAATTGACGCGGAAATTAATTTGTGCAAATACTTTTGCAGTGGGTGTAGACCAAAACAATTTGTTTGGAAACGCATAGCGAGATCGTTAAGATATATACCTCTTGAAAGCCTCTGTCCATAAACTTTTCACCAAACTATCGTTGCAGGCTATTGAAATTGGTCTATAAATTGGAGCTCCGCTGGCGTGTGATATTGGAAAGTAACTTTTTCGCATATTTATTGTTGATTGCAGGCGGTGACAAAAAACCAAGTTGCATTTGCCCCGAGTTTTTGCGCATATTTTCGCGTTTAAATTGCAACAACCACGAAAGCAGCCGCTTTGACACCGGCGACGATAGCAGCAGCAACTTCTGGCCGTCACGATGGAGAATCTTGGCTATAAGGAGGGCAGCACAAAACCCCGCCGTATGACACGTTCGATCAGCGTCGTTACCAAGACCGAAGTGGAACAGCCGCTCACGGAGAATAATGCAAATAACCGGTAAGTGCCAGTTGGAGTTGCCAGTTTTCAGTTACCTGTTGCATTTGCTGAAATATCTGGCTACGATAAAACGTTTACAAAATATATATAGGTGTGATTGCCAAACCCAAAAAGCAAAGACACGGAAGAATTCCACGATTTATGTGATGAACAAGTTCGCAAAAAAATATCAACGGATTCATTTTCTGTAAAGAGGAGGGTTAGTACACCCACAAAATGCGAAAATGACATCTGATAATTGACTTCCATATAATAATTTCACTTGTTTGTTTATTAGAAAAAACTAATTATATAAAATTAAATGAAGATACAAAAAAAATTGTTTGAACAGCTAGTCTTCTGAAAAGTGGAGGGTTACTATATTCACATAAAATGCGAAAATGACATCTGATAATTAATTTCCACAAATCTGCTGCCAATATAATAATTTCGCTTGTTTGTTTGTTAGTTATTAGAAAAAACTAATTATATAGAATTAAATTTTTTAGCTGCTCATAGCCAAATTAGATGTTGTCGTAATTTTCATCAAAACTACTACTCAGATGGATTAAATACCGAAAGAAGATTATAACAATCGTCACTACATAATTAGACAATAACAGTACTAAAAACAAAGAAGCTATATAGTCGCCCGATCCTGCTCGTTTCGACTTCTATACTACCTGCAATAGAAAGACAACTTTTGGGGAAGTTTTAAGCAGATAGCTTTAAAACTGAGGGACTAGCTTGCGTAGAAACGGACGGACGGACAGACGGAGGGACGGACGGACAGAAGAACATGGCTAAATCGACTCTCCTGGTGATGCTGATCAAGAATATATTTTATAAAGTATATATATTCTTTGGAAATGTCTTCTTCATTGAGTTGCAAAATTTTGACTGAAATTATAATCTACAAGGGTATAAAAAAAATGTTGATTGTTAAACCAAACTTTTATCTCTGGAGTAATTTGTCAGTTAAATGTTGTAGACTTATGTTTTAAACCTTTGTAAAACCTTTCGCTAAAAATTTAAATCTTAAGGTTTTCAAAGGTTCATAATTTGTTTTTAAGGTTAAAGCATTTTTAAAATCTTCGTAATATCTCTTCTGAAGAACATTACAAACTTTGATTCGTTGAACAACACAAACTCTAAAAAATACTCCAAAGTAAAATTTGTACTCCCACTCTCACCGAAAACGCAGACTTTTGAGAAATCTCCTACTCTCTCAATAGTTTCTCGCTCTCCAAATACTTTATAATTACAGCAGCGGTAAAAACAATGTAACTATAAGATGTGAGAGAGACTCAAGAGATTGTATTTCAATGGGGCTTTTGGACAAAATCATTTGATATCTAAGTGTTTGGGAATTATATTTTTTGTATTAAACAAGCTTTTTATTAGGCACATTTATAAGTGTGAGAATTGTATAATGAATTTAAAAGTCTGTTTCCCTTATGTTGAATTATGATCAAAGTCAATTTCCCTGAATGAAACTTTTGATATTATAAGTTTTAGTCAACACTAAAATTGATAATGAAAATGGTGATAGATTTTCTTTATATATATTTTATCATTAGATTTGCAATTCCAATTCAGAAATTTTGTTGGGAAATAGCTCAGTTAATTTAAATTGCATCAATTAGGTTGTTTATTAAGATTAAGGATAAAAAGTAACCACTCTTTTTGAAAGAAATAAAAAATAACACAATTTTTGCAGATGCTGTAAAAAAGGATTAATCCTCCATATTCATAGCTATTATCTTGACACTAATCGTATAAGTATCTCCCCTTGGCAAACCTCCCGCTCTCTAGATTACCTCTCTTTCAATCGCGATCGACGACTTAACCAATGCTTACGGCTTTTCATCGAGCTCAGTCGGTTTTGGAACAACAATGCAGGCGGTCGCGTTCGTTGCTGGCTAAAACAGTACTAAACACTACGAAATACAGTCACAAAACCTGGTTAGAACGAGCTTGAAGTGAAACAATGCCAGCGACTACTGAAAAAACGCCCGAAAAATCGACAGCAACAACAAAACGGAAGTGAAAAATTCGCGTTTTTTCACACAACATTTTAGCATTTCCCGCCCGTTAGGCACAATTGTCTAAGCCTCAACAAAAGCCTCTATTGTGAGATACTAGTCCCGTTCCGACCCCATCCCATCCGATCTGTAGTCCGTATTCGTGGATCGGTCAATCAGTCGGTCGACTGTCGCGCCGTGCTCTTCCATGTATTTCGGAAATGAAATTAGAAATTGAAAACAGCTCATTGGCGAATTGGCATCATCCGTGGATATGGCTACAAACGGTGTATGTATTCAGTTCAAGTCGGATCCACAGATTCCCGGCTTAAGTGCCGAACAAAGGTAGTCGTAGTGCTTTAAATATTCCACAAGTGCAGCAGCTTCTGACCATGGACGAGGTCTGAAATTGTGCACCAAGCAGCTATGCTGAGCAGACCTGAGTTGGCGACTAAGATAATAAAACAAATTCTACCGGCGCAGTCTTTAAATCCATCAACGTACGACAACAGTGAATACTGAGCAGTGAAAAAACTAAAACCGCTTTAAACAAACCGCCACCTTTGCATAACTCCCAGCTCCAAAATAGCACACAATAATTATTTTAAATTATGCATACTCAAAAAGTCAACAGATCTCGAACTCTGTTGTTCAGTGCCATTTAAGCAATGGAGTTTATAAGTTTACAAATCTATAAAAAGTTTTACTGATCAAGCTGGAGACAAAGAGAAGTGCGAGTCTATTTAATGACTTTGTTTTTAAAGTTTAGCCAACTCAGCCAGCCCGATTAATTACTTGTTCGTTGGCTTAATGGTGCTAGAAAGGGTATTTGCGAATTCTCAATAAAACTTAATCAAGCGACTCAAGTTTGTGACATATTTAGTTGTGATGTTTTCCATATAATTACTACTTATTTTAAACGCTAAGCCATGTAATTTCCTTAATGAAGTTAAAATTTATTCGACGTCATGATAAAAAAGTGTTAAATAAGTTTTAAAAAAACTTCAACTGCAATAAAAACATTTATGTGATAGTGCGACAAGGATAGTTAAAGCCGACTACATTTTTTATTTTATACTCCCCCCTAACATAACAAGGGCATGGTAACCTTTTTTTTTACATACTGACCGAAATAAAGCGGCAGAGAACATTCTTAATATGAGATGGAATTTTTCATTTAATTAAGAATAATAAAAACAGTTTAAAAACAAAAAATGAAGCAAACGTTGGAAAGCCGAAGTTTGTAAACACTTCCAGTTATTAAAAAACGACTACATTTATATTTCTATGCCTCTATTACTAAAAACAACAAAGCTATGTCGATTTTACACTGCATTTTTGCATTTTTTCTATGGCAGCTATATGATATTGTTGTCCGATTCTGACAAAATAAAAGCGTTATTCTGATATAGTAAATAATTACTATATCTTAAAGGAATATTTCATAAATAAAAAAACAGCAAACTTAACAATTAAGATTTTTTTTTTATCTTTCGATTTTCATATGTTTGCTTCCTTTTTTGTTTTAATTTTTTTTCCGACTATTCCTATGGTAGCTAACTGCAATAAAAATACAACTTTTGGGAAAATTTCAAGCAGATAGCTTTAAAACTGAGGGACTAGTTTGCGTAGAAACGGACGAACAGACGGACATGGCTAGATCGACTTTCCTGGTGATGCTCAATATATAATATATACTTTATAGGTTCGGAAATGTCTCCTTCACTCCATTGCAAACTTTTTGACTAAAATATAAGACCCTCTGCAAGGGTAAAAGACCGTCTTTATCATCCTAAATGTTAGGATTGGTATCTAACAAACCCAATCAAATAAAAAAAGGTAATAAATCTATATGACTTATTACTTTTACAAAAACAAGACTTTTTTTAAAGTCATGCACTCTTAAATAAATTTAATCCAATTTTTGGAAAAGTTATATCCAAAAAACAGGCTTTCCAATGATACCCCTTTTTTCTAATACCAATTTAAATTTAGCTGCTAAATATAAACTTGTCTAACCATCCCATTTCTAATCTCCCTATCAATGACTGCTTCAAAAACTGTTTACAAAATATTATCCAAAAATCAACAGTATTTGTAAACCCTCGGAAACTTGATTAAAATTGAAATGAGTTTAAAGGTTTTTCTTAATATTCTAAGCACAACCGGACAAAAAGTGGAAATTGTGATTTGCTTAGATGTTAAGCATCAGGATCTGATGCGGTATCTTTTTTAAAGTTATTAAACTGTAAATTATTTACATGTTTGGCCATTTTAGGGGTTTTGTGTTAAAATAATAATATACTTAATTCCATATTTATGCCATGTGAATCTTAATCAAATTAAAGTTCTTGGTAGAACATATATACAATGCAATCAGAATGAATAAGATACATCTGCTAATCTTAATCCGTCTCCGACAGTTTCAAATCGATTCCACCCAACTTGATGGTGCGATGGCGGAACAACACTGACGCCATGATCGAAGCCCAGTACCCGACCGCTGGAGAATTCGAATACATGGAGTGTGGACCGTCGCCGCCGGCGGAGAGTGCGCCGAGCATGTACGATAGCTTCGAGGAACCGACCAGCGAACTAAGCGTCCAGATATGCAACGATACGCTACGGATCAGCCTGATCGACCAGATGAAGAGTGGCGCTGGTCGCGTCAAGCTCTTCGAGGACATCGAGCAGAGCAATGTGGTGGCCGAGGGCATACGGAAGCATTTTGAGTCCGCCTCGAAGCTGGAAAAGAATCTGAGCTACCTGTGGGCCGCCTACCTTAAGCGCTGGGATCTGATCGAGAGTCTGCTAGAGGCAGGAGCCGACCTCCACTTCTGCGATCAAAATGGTATATCTGCCTTGCATCTGAGTGCCTTCAGTGGCTGTTTGGCCACTTTGGGTCTCCTGGTGGCCAAGGGCTTGAATGTCAATTTGCAGTCCAAGTGCTACACGCCGCTGCATTGTGCAGCCTTTGGGAATGCAGCGGAGGCGGCTAAATTACTGATCAATAATGGAGCAGACATATCTAAGGATACGAACAAACCCAATTGCGAGGAGAGCCTGCTGCACTGCGCCGTGCGATCCAATGCACTGGAGTGCCTGCAGATATTCATTGGCGAAGGCGCGGATGTCAACTCGCTCAAACCAAATGGCACAAACGCCATTCACCTGGCTGCTGATCTAGGCAATCTTCAATGCCTGGAAGCCTTGCTGAATGCTCCAAACGCAGATGCCAATGTGCGCATCTGCATTCGAGAAAAAGAGTCCACTGCTTTGCACCTGGCGGCTGACGAGGGCAACGTGGAGTGTGTGGACTTACTTCTAGCGAAAGGTGCGGATGCCAAGTTGAAGAACCATCGAGGATTTACACCTCTTCACCTGGCGGCAAGGACCTCCAGTTTGGATTGCGTGGAGTCTCTTTTAAAAAACGGCAGTGCCGACGCCAATGCCGAAGACTTTGATCATCGCACTCCACTCCACGCGGCCGTGGGAAAATCCGAGAACGCCTACGACATCATGGAGACCCTTATCCAGTGGGGTGCCAATGTAAACCATAAGGATATTTATGGGTTTACGGCTCTCCACCTGGCCGCATTGGATGGACTGGTGCAGTGCGTCGAAATGCTGATATACCACGGGGCGGATGTGACCACCAAATCGAAAAAGGGCACTTCTGCGCTGAACGTAATTACCAGAAAGACTCCGGCGTCAGTGGCTATGATCAGACAGAAATTGGATGCAGCCATTACGCTTCATCACTCGCAGGTGAGTCGAAAGACTTTTATAGTAGAGATTCTTCATTTACCCTTTTGAGCATTCATTCATCTTCGGAAAGACTTTTATAGTAGAGATTCTTTATTTACCCTTTTGAGCATTCATTCATCTTCTTTTTAGGACCCCGTAAATCGTGAGGTGGAGCTCGAGCTGGACTTTCGTCAATTGCTCCAGCACTGTCATCCTCGTGAGATCAGCTATCTGAACACGTTCGTCGACGAGGGACAGAAGGAAATCCTAGAGCACCCGCTCTGCTCCTCCTTCTTGTACATCAAGTGGGGCAAGATCCGCAAGTACTACATTGGCAGACTCATATTCTGCTTTAGTTTCGTGCTCTTTCTCACGCTCTACGTGCTGACAGCCTTGGCCCACAATTGCTATAATGGCAGCAAGAACGATAATACGACTATTCCGGCGCAGGAGTTATGCCAAAAGCAATCCATTCTGGGAGATATGCTCAGAAACAATCCGTTTGTGATGGAGATGCAATGGTGGGTACTGGTTGCAATCACTATAGTGGAGATATTTCGAAAGCTATACGGTATTACGGGTTACTCGTCATTTCGGCACTATGTGACGCAAGTGGAGAACATTATGGAGTGGTTCGTGATCACCAGCGTGTTTGTTATATCCTATATATATACCAACAAAACATACACGTTCCAAAATCATATAGGAGCCTTTGCCGTGCTGCTCGGTTGGACGAATCTGATGTTGATGATAGGTCAGCTTCCGGTCTTCGATGTCTACGTGGCCATGTACACAAGAGTCCAGGGAGAATTCGCCAAGCTATTTATGGCCTATTCCTGCATGCTGATTGGGTTCACCATTAGTTTCTGTGTTATCTTTCCATCGTCGTCGTCATTTGCCAATCCGTTTATGGGTTTCATAACAGTGCTGGTAATGATGATTGGGGAACAAGACCTATCGCTGCTAATTAACGATCCGGAAGGCAAAGATCCACCTTTCCTACTAGAAGTCAGTGCACAAATCACCTTCGTGCTCTTTTTACTATTTGTGACCATCATTCTGATGAACCTGTTGGTGGGCATTGCAGTGCACGATATCCAAGGATTGAAAAAGACAGCGGGACTATCAAAACTAGTACGACAGACAAAGCTGATCAGCTACATAGAATCGGCGTTATTTAATGGCTACCTTCCCACCTGGCTAAGGAACTTGCTTCATTATACAGCTTTGGTGTCTCCCCAAGCTTATAGAGTGGTTCTATGTGTCAAGCCGCTAAATCCCAGCGAGAAGCGATTGCCCAGAGAAATTTTAATGAAGGCTTATGAAGTGGGAAAGATGCGCAAGCATTTCGGACATACGGTGTCGTCGAAAAATTCAGCCGAGAACTATTTATCCTACAAAAATAAGTATAACAACAATAACGGTGCGACTGGATATCTTTTACCGGATACGGATCTGGATGCTGGGCAGTTCAACACACTGACCACCAAGATCGATGATAATGCAGATCGGATTGAGGTTCTTACCCAGGAGATCCAGGAGCTAAAGCAGGCGCTCATCTCGCAGCAACAACAGGCCAGCAAAGTGATCGACAAGCTGTTGATTGTGATTTCCAATCAGCAAAAGCAAAATCTGCGGAAGTAGCCGGAGCATTTAGTGCACTCCTTTTGGATTATTTTTAGATCACAGTTAGATATAAGGTGGATCGTTAGATTCCAAACAAATCCAGAACATTGTTGATATTATCGTAGCAGCGAGTTGTAGTTAAACCAATTTTGATATCGATGCGCCAGGCGTCCTATACATACATATATAGCCATATACCACACCATACTACACTACTATCGATACCGTTAGTTAAATTAGAGGCGAGCAGTTGGCAGGATTGATTTGTGGCTGGTTTCAGGCTGTGTCTTTGTTGTTTTGGCGTTGTCGTCAGAGAATCGTTTATATAGTAATTTAATGCAAATTTGTATTCTTAATAAAATATATGCAGTATCTATTATTATAGAGAGTGATGTTATTTGAAGCTGCGGCCAAAGTATGGGTATGCGGTGGAATAGTAACAGGACATCATTTGTAATGTAATAGTTCGACTCACCTGCTCCTTGCAGTTTTCGTCCTCGAAGTATAAGATATCTTTTCCATTAATGCTGATCTTTCCCGTACCCGGAAACCGAACTGTGACGTCGGCTCTGGCAGTTTTGCGCAGGCACTCGTAGGTGGTAATGTACTGGCGACCCTCCTCATCGATTTTTGGCTTGGGCACTTCCAGCTGCTTGGACTGATCCATCAACGGTTTCAGAAAACGTTCGATAAATGATTTGCTTTTATAAGCATACGGTGATGCAATGAGACGTTCCATGGACTTGGTGAAGTTCGAGTACTCAATATCGGCAATGCTTTCTACCAGGAAAAGTTCCAACTGGTCTTTGGGTAGCAGCTGAAATCCAGCCATTTCGCTAAAATATATGCAAATTAATTAAATCTCTTATTAATATGTCGAAAATATGTTGCTTACAGTTTTTGGTTCTCGTCGGGCTTGTTGCCGCGACGAAGCAAGCGCTCTTCCAGGTCCGCCAACTTATTGGTTTCCTCCACAATGTCCTGAAAAAAGAAAAAAATATAAAGAGATTCAAAAATACATAAGACAAATCGTCATCCGTCAATGAACACAAGGAGGAAGTTAGCTTCGGCTACCTAGTCTATACTTTGCCGTATATAATATTTAAATAAAATACATTTTTAAGAGAGAATAGAAAGCCGTCTTTTTTTTTGTAGATATATGTAGGGAAAAATACTCATAATAAAGACGGAACTAATAAAGAGTCTAATGATTTTTTTTCAAAAACTATTATATAATTCGGTCTATCATTAAAATAGCAGTGGTCAACAAAATGTTAAAATAAATTTGAAGACTTACGTTAATTTTATCAATTTGTTTTGAATTTGAATGTTAGGCAATTTTTTACAATTAAAACAAAGAATTTACTTTTTTTTTTGACCGTTCGTACTTATACCTGCAATAGGAAAGTAACTTTTGGGAAAATTTTAGTCAGATAGATTAAGAACTGAGAGACTAGTTTGGGAAGATCGACTCGTATGATCGTGACCATACATATATGTTAAATAGTCAATAACGGTCATTGCAAAATACTGAATGAAATTACAATACCATCTGCAACAGTACGCAAAAAGTTACCTATGTATTTTCTTTACGGCGGTGCGTGTGTTTGTGCGGTGTGTTTTTTTCCTTTTCGGACTCAATGTATTTGAAGTAGATGTAAATGGAAATACAAACACGGCGCGCGAATAATGTGTTCCTGGGAAAATTGGAATTTATCGAATAGGATAATAGGCCCTAGTTGTTTAAATTAGATTTTGAAAGAAGGCTAAGTGGTAAGAGATATATGTAAGTAGTCGCCAAACATTACCGCAACTCGGTTTTCTTCATACTAGGGATTTTTTTTAAACATAGACTCACATGGAGCAGCTGGAAGAAGTTGGGCTTGCCGGTGTAAAACATACTGTGGAATGGTCTACCCGTCTCATCAAACTCTGCAGCCTTGCGGGCGGGAAAGACAACGTCCGGCGATTTCAGAGCTGGCCGGGCTTTTTTGTCGTACAAGCCGGAGGGAAACAGATACGATATCGCCTCCTGCAGATCGAATAAATTAACGATTTAATGAATACAAATTGTCATAGTTAAGCCACCCACGTCAATATCTTCCTGTGTGAAAGTCTCCGCATTAGCGCCCATCATGTTGGCCAGATGCCGTTTACCGATCTGGAACTCCAGATGCTGGGTCTTCATGAACTCGTCGTGTTCGTTGGCTCTTTTCAAGTACGCCCTCATGGCCTTGCTGACCTTTTGCTTCTGCACAGCAGCAGGAGCAGCCTGAACGGTTACTTCGCTGGCAAATGGAGCAACCGCCTGAAAGGTTATGCAAACGTGCGTTCTTAGTTTTGGAAACAGTGAATCCAATGAAATATATGGTTTCTAGCAGTTGCAATTTGGACCAACCATGTAGCCTGATGGCGGGGCGGATAATTTGTGTGCATTTTTCAGCAGATTCCTGTTAGATCTCACTATATTTAAACCAAAAACACGCAGAGCCATTTTTTCAATTTTGTAGGGAACACCGGGAAGAAGAAGACTGAAACAGCTGTTCAATCCGACGCAGGTTCACTTAAGTCTGTGTTGGAAAACGCAGAGGTTCAGCTGTTTTCTGGCGCGCATATTGCACACTACTTTGCTTTTTAAATATGATGCTTGGATAAAATAATTTTTTTATTAAAGTTATTTGGCAATTTTACTTTATTTATTTATATAAAGCTAGCTTAAGTTTTAAAACTATGAATTAACTATAATAAGAGCATTAGCAGCTGAGGCCTTACGCTCGTCTGGGATGACAGTAATAATTTAATTTAAAGAAATGAGAACAATTTTGTGAATAAGTTGGGCTTTTTGAAGAAATGAAATGATTTTAGTTATGTTTTCATTGGAAGGGTTTGCTATGATGTTTGCTGGGTTGTCAGAAACGAAGGATGTAGCTCTAGGTTGGGAGAGGGAAGGGCAAGAGTTTAAAATGTGGTCAATGTTTAAATGTGGGCTGTTGCAATATGGGCAAGTGTTTGGAAGGGAAATGTCCATGTAGTGTGAGTTTGTAAGTGAGGTGTGTCCTAGTCGAATTCGGTTTATAATTATTTGAGTTTTCCTATTATGATTGGTGTGCGAATACGTAAAGCTGGAAGGAGTATTTTTAACGATATTGTTATACCAGGAAGAGGTATTGTTATGCAGGTCGGATTGTTTTAATTTAATGTAGTTTTTGAGGTAGTGTGTAATGTCGTTAGTGTTGTTGTTTTGTGTGTATATAAGCGGGTATTTTTGAGTTTCTTTTGCTGTTTTGTCAGCATTCTCATTGCCTTTTATGCCGATGTGACTGGGGATCCAAATTAGTTTGATTTTCGGGTAATGATTGGTAATTAGGTTTCTTATGATTGTTAGGGTAGTAGGAGTGGTTGTTAAAATTAGTAAGGGACTTAAGGGACGATAGAGAGTCTGAGCAGATTGCATGTTTTCCTGGATTTTGTAAAGCTGTTTTTATAGCTTCATGGATGGCTATTAGTTAACTTGTAAGGACTGAGGAATAGAGAGGAAGAAGACCACATTTGATGGTGCTGTTTTCGTCGGTTACGCTAAAGCTTGTTATGCCATTTGCCACCGATCCGTCGGTGTAAAGGAATTGGTGGTTAGGAAGAGTGTTTTTTATTTTACTTTATAATTATTAATGTATTACATATCCCGACAAGATTTCACTTTCGTTGATTTTGAAAAATTGTGACTTTCTGGTATTTTCCTTATTTTTAATTTATTCGCGATAACTATCCTTTTATTTAATTATGTCTTTAAGCATGGTCAAACAATTTTGATACTCCTTACGTAAATAAAAAGACAGATCTTCCTTCTAAACTATAACTACTAATAGCTTTTTGTACGTTGTAACGATTCACAAACTGTGCCAATACCTTTCATAAGCTTTAACTATCCTTTATTGTTTGCTGAAAGTACTTGGCAAACTATTTGTCTCCCCGAATACGGGTATTTAATTTGTTCAAATCAATTACTACATGGACCTTACCAAATTATTTAACCTAAAATTGTAAGAGTTTTGGGCACATTTTGTAAATCGTCACTCAGAAAAATCCTCTTGTACTTGTCGGAAAAAAAAATTTTTAATTATTATATAAGCATAATAGTTAAAGCAAGTATTTTAACTCAATTCTTAACATCTAAGCGATCTCTCATCCACCGGACCACACTTATACAAGCGACAAAAGCTTTGTTGCTGTCCATAATTGATTATTTGCTCTCGAGCTTAAAGGAAGATATATCATCTGCAGTGATAGTCTGTCCACCCTGCAAGGAGTACAAAACTTCTACAATAACAATAACCTTTTATCCGAAAATCGTCACCACTGCATCAAAAGCAATAGAAAAATTAAACTATTATGGGTCCCGGCTCATATAGGAATAATTGGGAACGAGTTAGCCGACAAAGCTCCGTACCACACAATCATACCTGGAGTACAACAGGACATCTGGAAAAACATCAAAAACATTCTGCTGGACATCGAACTGGAAGACTGGTCGTCGTTTGACCACTGGTATAAACAATTCAACCCCGACAAGAAAGACATCAAGTTCACAACTTCGATCAACGGAAGGGCAGGCGCCATTCTCACTCAATTAAAAACCGGACACACAAATCTCACACATAAGCACATCCTTCGCTCTTACCCCGCCATCAAATCTATTAACTGACCTAACAGCTACCAGCTATAAACTATTATTATCTTTCTTACGGATATATAAAATTATACATCAAATTTAAACACCCCTATTAATTATCTAATATCCCCTCTCATCAAATGTTAAATCACAAATATAACCAAATTGTTATCAATTTGTCGAGACGATGGCCACAGCAGCTAGTTACTTCTTTCCCTAAATTAGTTATTATATTGTAAATGCGATTTATGTATATTACCTAATACTGAAATAAATAAAATTTTAACTTAGATCGCGTCCCGGCTCTATTTAGGCAGGTTTCTTCCAGAAAAGAATTTTTTGGATATCAAAATAAAACCAAAAATCGTATTCAATCCGATGAAAAAATTATTTATTTACTTTACCATTGTCCTCCTTTACAAACGCTTTTATTAACTACATTTTTTTAAACACACTTTCAATGCTGATATTTTTCGTATATGGAAATTTAAACGTACACAAATCAAAGGAACAGAAAAATGCAATGAAAACCTTTCAACAGCTATTTATAATTATTTGATGTTTAACGCTATATAATTATTTATAAATAATTGCCTAGGCTTAGCGTTGAGAACGAGTTTTTATCGGTCGCATTATTGCATTATGCAGCTACCAGAATTATTACTCCATTTCATCCTCCCTTGTTGTATTTGGTCGCAGTAAAATATTATATGTATATAAAGCAATAATGTCACGCCTATTTCCATGCCTGCTTGAGCAATTTACGTGATGCTAAATGCTTAACAATCAACGAACCCGATGTGAGCGCGACTAGCACTATGGTAATGAGAATATAGTCAAAGTCTTCCTTTAACAAATCGAACGTCTTTGAAGGCGCCACACGCGTAACGAATAAATCTGGAAGAGAAGATTAGTTTAGTTGGTTTTAATTTGACAATAGTATGTGAAATAAAAATATAACGGTAAGTATATCTCTTGCTATAAATAAATTATACTAAATTATGAATTTTACTCAATGAACTCAAAATCAGGGCCCTGTTTTATGAATAATGCTTACCTAAACCCGTAGCAACGACTAGACAGGTACTCTCCAGACCACTGGGCGCAGTAAAAATATTACGAAGACGGGCGACCGTCTGGTTATAATTAATATGGCTCTCCGTTGGCAAAGGCAGCTCTGGTATGTAGGGAATTGCTCCCTCCTCACGTCCTTGAGTAGTGGATGCAATGGGGCGCCGTGGATCCAGCAAATGCCATGGCATTTCAACAATGGAACCACTGGCGGTACCGACTAGAAATTTTTGTTGTATTGTAACATGATACTCGATAATCAAATAACTTTTAATAGCTTACTCAGCACATGTTTATTGGTAATTCCACGCTCTGTGATCGTTTCCCTCAGAGCTTCAACAATTGTTGGAAGTATATAAGACTGACGCTCCACAAGAGGCATCGGTGGAGCTTGCAAGGAGCTCCAAACACTGCTGTTCGCCTGAGTCTTGCCTTCGTACAGCTCAATGGTCGCTGTGAAGAGGTACATTTTGAGGGTACAAATTTGTTGCATTTTATCAAAGTTTTTACCCTATTTAACTTACTTATTTCTGTGCGTCGCACTTTCTCATTGAAGTAGGAGTAGGCAAGCCAGTTTTCTGAATGAACAATGCTCAGTGGAGCACGCACCTTGCGATGCGTTATGGTAAAAACGACGGAGCCGGAGACCACATCAACCAGATACAAATTGAGCACGGCTGAGATAGGTGACATGTTAAGGGATTTCAATTTAAATAAAGTACATGCAGACTTACATTTGTGTGTGGCATCTGGCGCCTGTGTAACAAAGGCCACTAAATTGGGGTTAATGTACTTATATAGCACCGATCGGTCGCCCAACACACGGCCCTGGGAGTGGACATGCTCGATGGGATTCTTGCCGGAAACTCCGATAATCTGCTGTTCTGAGTTGTGGCCGCCTAGGCGGGCATTCCAAACATGCGTGCTCGACAATTTCTAGCGGAAACATGTCAATTAGTTGATAACCCTCAGGCTGTACAGTGTCAATACTTACGCCGCCCGCATATTTGACGAAGAAGCCGGCCAACTCCGCGGTTCTTACATCGGCTGTGTACAGATACATGCCATCGGCCTGTGAAAGACAAGCAATACTTTAAAGGTAAACCGATTTAGAATAGTACCTCTCTTTTTACCAATGGTGCCGCGTGTTGGGGATATACATGGACCTTGTTAGAAGCATCCAATAACAGAATCCCCTTTACAAAGTCTTTTTCCGTCTCCCCTAGCAACGAGAGCTGCTTGATTTTGTAGTCCAGCTGAATGAGACCTCCTTCCGATGGTTGTCCAGTGATGGGATTAAAGCGGTAAAGCACACCATTACTATTAACCTATGAATAAAGTTTGGTAAGCTAAGAATTTATATTAATTATTAGTCAGACTTACAGCATCTTTGCCTAAAATAACGCAAAGAGGCTGGAGTGGAAAGTGTTTCGCCGACCGCTGAACAATCAGACGCATCTGCTCGTCATTATCAAAACCATTAACATTGGGAAGATACAGCTGCCAGTGATGCTTTCCCGAGATGTTGTCGATGCCAAAGATCTTTCCAGCACGCGTAAGTAGAACCAGAATCTTGTGGAGACCAAAGGAATCGCGGACCAGGCCAGCCCGCTGAGTATCCGTGGGCGGAGGACCGAGGCCAATGACATGAAGGAACAAGCTCCTAATTTGAACAGCTTGTGTCGTGATGCGACGCAAAAAAGCGCTGGCAATGTCTCCTGTTTAAATGAAAAAGTAATAAAAATGAGCAATGAAATCTCTTTAAATAATATATCGAAATAGAAGCTTCATACAGACAATAAAAACTACCAAATCAATCATTAATACATACAACTAATAAATTAAAATCAATTATTTTACAAACAAGGACCTCGCTCCCTATGAATACAATTGACATTCGCCAAACGAAATAGTTATTATTAATTATTTATTGTCAAATAAAAAATAGTTTTGCATGCAAATGTGTATTAGTCAACTTTCGTTTTTATACCAATTGTATTAAACTGTTTTTAAAATTATGCCCACAATAAAAAAAAAAAAATAAAATTGCAGGCCTGCTTTATTATGGATATTCCACTTACTTTCAAAACTTGTGAAATCCCCTTTTGGTTTGCATCGTCAAAAATAAATTTTTTACAATTTAGCTTAAAGTAATGATAATACAAAATACATTAACACTCACCGGCCTTGCCCTTCATTTCGCTCTCCAGAGTGCCTTCGGTATCGGCAAGTGGTAGATCCACAAACTGCGAGTCGATCACATTGGCCAACGCCTCCTCACGCGTCCAACGAATGCGTCCTTGCTGCACGGCCACAATGGATTCGGAACTGGTGCTAAAGAGAAAAAGGCAACTCTTGCCATCGCCATTGCGCTTTTGCTTGCAGTCGAAGTTGCTTAGCGATGGAATGCCAAAGTGAACGGGGAAGGGCAAACTCTGCTCTATCTCAGTCGCCGGCGCGCAGTTATCCAGATATACGGCATTGATCTTGAGAATCTTTCAGAAAATAAATTAAACGGAACAATAAGTTGTCAAACTATAATTATTTTTAAGGAATCACCTACCCCAGAAACCAGATCTGCATATGCCAAGATCTTGCGGTAGTTAAAGCTGCCCACGGTGAAGCTAGAGCTTTGCAGTCCATTGCATACAGATTGGTCCTTGTTGACACTGACAAGACTGCCATCCACAATCACAACACCATTGAGACCCTATCGAAAAGTTTACAAAATAGTTTAGTGAAAATATAGACCAATATGTTATTTTTAGTGTAGATAAAATAAATATTTAAATTATAAATATATGATAATGAATTGTTATTTTACAAAATAAAAAAATAAAATATAAAAACAAATAATTGTTTTGGTAAAATACAATTAATTCATTTCATTAATCTTTAAGTATTTTAAAACAGATTCAAGTTCAAAAAATTGTGAGACTGATATTTATATCTCTTACCGCCACGGTTTTAAGTTTTCCCTTGGGCTCCTCCTCGAGCAAAGTCCGGATCACTTGACCGCTCTTAGACACCAGATCCAGGCTGATTAACTGCTTACCGTCCACACAGACGTAGAAGGTGCCACTGAGTGAGCAGCTCTCTGGAGTGATCCAGGAGGCCATCACTTTGCTGGTGCTGCCAGTGGTGTGACCAGAGCTGGCGAAATAGGCGGTGACCTCGAGGTGGCTCCGCCAGGCGGGCAGAACGTGGTAGAGCACAGATCTGCTGTAGAACCACAGCGCCTCCTGGGCGCGTTCCGTGTTCAGCGGCATGATGGACCACTCCCACTCGAGGGCGCCCATATTGGTGTTCCAGCCGCGCACCAGAGCAGGCGCATGTCCCTGTACGGTGAGCATGTCGAAGCCTAGATTGCTGCCCATCGGAGCGGCGGCCGTGTCGCTGCTGTCGTCGGAGAATCCGCTCACTTGCAGTAGCTTGATGTCGCCGCGCGGCTTTTGCTCGAGTATCTGGCGCCACAGCAGTTCGCCGGTCTTAACGCACAAGCTAGCCACCACTCCTTCATTGGTGCTGACCAGAATCCGCGGCTGGAAGTGGTTCAGGTCCACCCGGGACTGCTTCAATGCGCCCACATTCACGCCTCGCCTGCAGGAGGGACTTTTATCTGTCGGGTCAATGGTCAGTTATAAGGCCCACTCACCAGTCGAACTTCTTAATCTGGTCTTCGTAGAGCGCCGAGCAGGTGCTCAATAGCAGGAGCACCACCACCGAGAGCTTGGCTAGTAACCACTTCTCCTGCATGTCGTCCGACTTGCTTTCTCCCCTTCGACTCACGAGAGCTCTAGTTATTCAACTTCCGAAATCTTTTTATGTTATAAACTAATAGAAATCCACATTAATTCGTGTTTTCCGTCATAGCAAAGAGGATGAGAAGAAGAAATTGGCACAGGGTTGGCTTCGACAAAAACATCGATATTCGATTAAACCCGACATTCAAAACAATTGTTATGGCCTACTCACACATGCCCGTTTTGCCTTGCGCTCAAAGCTTAAGCCTAGTACTCAGATCGACAAACGAGTATGCTAGCGTAAAAACTTTAATCTTTCCAGTGTCACCAAAATTTCGAGAGTTCATCAGAATTAAGCGTGTTACGGTCGTACTGTCAATCAGCTGGGTTTGTTGACAAGCAGTTAAAATTCAAATATCGTATTTGCGGGAAAAGAGCCTTTAAAGGCAGCTGTAAAAAGAAATTAAAAAACAATACAATTTAAATTTAACAGTTGTTTTTTTAATTTACTGATAATTATTTACTAATTTAAAGTTCATAGCTGCACTTTTATTGTGCTTTTTCGTACATTCTTGACCTAAAAAACATGTTGCTCTGACAAGAGGCACCCCAGATAGTATTAATGTTATTTTGTCCTCACATGTAATCTCCTGCAATCGACTTTTCCGAGTTTTTTGAGTTTTTCCCTCCATGATAGAGATTATATTGGTCTTTGATCTGGGGTGCCTCTTGTCAAAGCAAAATGTATTTTAGGAATCTACGAAAAAACACAATAAAAATACAGCTATGAACTTTAAATTATCAAATAATTATCAGTAAATTAAAAAAAAAACAACTGTTAAATTTAAATTGTATTGTTTTTTAATTTCTTTGTACTTGTCTTGCCAAGGTATTTGATAATATCTTTTATAGGCTCTTTCCCGCAAATACGATATTTGAATTTTTACTGCTTGTCAACAAACCCAGCTGATTGACAGTACGACCGTAGCACGCTTAAATCTGATAAACTCTCGAAATTTTGGTCACACTGGAAAGATTAAAGTTTTTACGCTAGCATACTCGTTTGTCGATCTGAGTACTAGGCTTAAATTATCAAATGATTATCAAAACACTATTAAATTTAAATTATATTGATTTCTTATTTGTATAGCGGCAGGCATGTCGTAGTCCTTTAAAGGCTCTTTCCTGCGAATAAGAATTTTGAATTTTAACTGCTTGTTGACAAGCATGATGAATTACTGATGAATTTTCAAAAATGCTGTCACACTGGATAGATTAAAATTTTTCCGCTGGCGAACTCGTTTTTCGATCTGAGTTCTAGGCCATTTTTGTCCTAAGAAACACTCTGCTCTGACAGCAGACACCCAAAGAGATAACATTTTTTAATCTTTTCGCTAGGACCTGACGAACGTTTACCCAAAGCTAATTTCAGCAGACTGGCAGCGCTATGCTATTTTCTGGTTACCGGGGTGAAAAAACTGTCGAAAGTTTGGTCACACTGGAAAGATTAAAGTTTTTACGCTAGCGTACTCGTTTGTCGATCTGAGTACTAGGCTTTTAGTGTGAATAGGTCTAGAAATGATTTTTGTAGTTAGCAATTTTTTGTGAACCGAATTCCATCACTAGTTTTGTGAAAAGTCAGTTTAACGTCAGTGTTTATTTTGTTTTGGAAATACTACTCTTTTATCCCGAAAATCCTTCCAAATGTTTGAAAAGAAGAGCGACAAGATCAAGCAAGCTGAGCACAAGCCGAGGGAAGATGGCGTCGAACTGGAGAGCCAGTTTATCATGCGTGTACCAAAGGTAAGATATTGAGCCTTATTGAAACCAAAGCGGGTAATTGTTGATTTTATGGCTAGGAAATGGCTGAAAATGTCCATGAAGCAATAAATGCAGGCACCGTGAAGGATCGCCTGACTATCCAACTGGATCAGGATCTAAGGTACGGCGAAGTGCGACTAGACGACCAACTGCTATACACGAAACTAGTAGACTTGCCCACTGTTGTGGAGAGCTACAAGACAATCGACAACAAAAGCTTTTACAAGTCGGCGGACATTTGCCAGATACTCATTTGCAAGGAGGAGCCAGAGGACGAGACAGAGAAGGAGTCCCCCAACAAAAACAAAAAGAAGGATCCCAATAAAGTGGATAAAAAGTACCTGTTCCCGCACGGAATTACACCGCCCTGCAAGAATGTGAGGAAACGTCGATTTCGCAAGACTCTGAAAAAAAAAAATGTTGAAGCTCCAGAAATCGAAAAGGAAGTAAAGCATCTGCTCCGCATCGATAATGAAGCGGTCAGGGTTGACTACGAAATCATCAACGAGGAAGATAAGCCCATTGATGACCTGGATCAATCGGAAATAAAGCCTTACAACGATGCGGATGATGATCTGCAAGACGAAACCACTATGCATGCCAGCGATAAGGCGATCATGGAAATGAGCTCCCAGCAGGACATCAATGTGGAATCCGACGATGATGAAGCCAGCAACTTTCCCTCACATCGGGCGCCCAACATGGGAGTTGCCGCCCACGACATCTTCGGCGAGGAAGTGTCTACAACAGATGACGAGGATGAGCCCGAGCGGGACAACACCACCATTCAGCAGCGCGAGCTGGAGGAATCTTCACGTCTCTCGGCGGATGATTCACGGATGTCTGACTTCTTTGGCGCTAGTGGCAGTAATACAGGAGCCGGTGGTATGAAAATGGAGCGAAACGAGTTCAATAAATCCATGTTTGGTCATGAAGCCAGCAGTCCCAAGCTGAGCGCGGCCGGCTCCAGTTCCAACCTGGCTGCTCCAAGTGGCTTTTACGACACTCAGATGTTGACCAAACGAGAGGAGTTCGAGAACATGGAGTTTATAGACGAGCCGCAGCCGCAGTACTCGCAGCAACAGGTGCACCAGAAGATAAGTCAATTAAGGCGGCAGATCAGCGAGCTGAAGACGCAACAGGTACAGAAATCCACGGAAATCGCTTCCATCCAGAATGCCACGCTTAAACAACGTATGCAGGAGACACTCGATAATCTCTACACTCAGGTCATTGAAAGAGAACTGGAGCTGAAGGACTTTGAGAACCTGCTGGAGTCCTAAAGTTGGGACAGATTGCATAAGAAATAGTTATATTTGATACAATTAGTTATACAATTTTATAAAAGCTTATCCACCATAGAATGCCTTCGGGTAATTGTTTGAACTGAAACTGTGCTGCTACCAAGACCTACGCGGATAAGTTATATTTACTCATTGTGCATATCATTATTTCTTTTACTTTACGATAAGTATTGATAAGTAAGCAATTGCGATCAATATGTAATGTAAGAGACAGATATATTTTTCTACAAAGTTATGTGCATCGCACATGATCTACTTATGAAATGATGCATTACTTCGTTAAACCATGGTCATCGGCTTATTGAACATACCTTGGGCTGAACTGGACGACATCGAATACGAAATTTTATATCTTTAAGGCCTACCCATGTTCTTAAAGTATCCAAACGCTGATCACTGTAACGGTTCTCATCTAAATGTCTTTATTGGCATTCCCAATCATATTTTAAAGATATTCAATATGGACAACATAGAGGATTACATTTTGTACTATGAGAGTGAAATTTTAGACCAGACTTTTTTAATAAGTGTCTTTTAGTTTAGGAGAGCACGTGTGGCTCTTACTTAGGATCTAAGAAGGTAGAGTGCGTAAATAGGAATGGGAGGACTGTAATTCTAGATAAACTAAATGCAAAATTTGTGACAGCAATTCTTGGGCCTTTATGGCTTTTGATACTGCATACGTTATTTTTTTGTGGTGGGAAAAATGGTACAAAACTGGTTTCCGAAAGCTATTTTCTTACGAATTGCAGAGAGTCTTCAAGCGGCATCACCAGCTTAGCTCATCGGGTAGTCCACCTGGGTATTCTCCAGTGAGACAGGCGGTACAGTGTCCTGTGGGCTTGGACTTGTTATCCCCTGCATCCCTGTGCTTCAACTGGACAGCTTCCACGAGACCCCCCACACTAAGATATGCCAGACTGTCGGCGCCCACATGCCTGGCTAGTTGTTCGGCATTCAGTTTGTTGGCAATCAATTCTTCACGAGTTGGAATATTGATGCCCATATAACACGGATACTGCAGCGGCGGACTGGCAATGCGAATGTGCACCTCCCGTGCGCCTGCATCCCGCAGCAGCTTGATGATGGGTCCAATGGTGTTGCCTCGCACGATGGAATCATCTATCAAGACCAATCTCTTGCCGGCCACGTTCTCGGACAGAGCTCCAAACTTCTTGGCCACTCCCAACTGCCGCAACCTGGTCGAGGGTTGAATAAAAGTGCGGCCCACGTAGCGGTTTCTGCAGAGAACCTCAGCAAACTCTATGCCAGATTCTCGGGCATATCCATGAGCCGCCGCTGTTCCAGATTCGGGAACGGAGCTCACAATATCCGCCTTCACAGGAGCTTCACGCCACAGCTGCCGACCGCACTGTAATCTCACTGTGTAGACCATTTGGCCCTCGAAGATACTATCTCCACGGGCGAAGTAAACATACTCAAATATACAAAAAGCCATGCGCTTGAAGTCGGGCCTTTCCACGATATCCACCGTGCGGTAGCCACTCCGAGAGAGTTCCACAATCTCTCCTGGTTCCACTTCTCGTACGTATCTAGCTCCAATGGAGAGGAATCCGCAGCTCTCACTGGAAACCACCCAGCCATCAGCAGGAGTGTCAGACCTATTGCCATGTCCAGCATTTATGGGAACGATTTTTCCTATGCACAAGGGCCTATTGCCGTAGGTGTCCCTCACGGCGTAGATCTTATCCTTCAGCATGATTACTAGCGAGTATGAGAGTGGCGCCAGCATCATAAAATGCCTGATCCTGGCCGGCCAGTTGGGGCCATCCAGTTCGGAAACATCCTCCGGAGCACAGCATAGCGATTGAGCGATCAATTCACTGTCGCTGTGAGTGGACAAACCCACTCCTCTAGCCAGAACCTCCCTCCTCAGAGATTCGTTGTTGACCAGCTCGCCATTGTGAGCCAGGGCTAGTGCTCCGTGGGCCGTATGCACCACAAAAGGCTGGCAGTTTACCACTCCGGAACCGCCGGCGGTGGAGTATCGCGTGTGTCCGATGCCCAGATTGCCGCGAAGCTTCTTCATGGAATCATCATTGAAGAGGGTGCTGATCATACCCATACCCTTGTGCACGTTGAAGTTCTTGGAGCAATTGCCCTCGCTAGTGGCTATCCCCGCGGATTCCTGCCCGCGATGTTGCAGTGCCACCAGACCCAAGCAGATAACGTGTGCAATGTCCATTTGTGTGGGCCAATCCCCGCATGCGATGGCACCGAAAACGCCGCACTCGTGGGTCAAACCGGTTAGCTCCTTGCTGGCCGAGATGGATTTCGATTCCAAAGTGGAGGTCACCGACTGTTGTTGCTGCTGCTGCCCGACCATGCGCACATGTTGCGACTGTTGCTGATTCTGTGGCGGTGACATGTTGCTGCTGGGAGATATGTCCAATATGATAATTTAACTTTGCTTAATCCAGCTTGTGGTGCAGCTGGCGTCGATCTGACTTACCTGTTGTTTTACGCAACGGTTTTATTGAAGAAAAATCCTCGCACGCTCGCACGCAGCTTAGTTTTTTTTGTGCAGGTGGGGGAGGGGACGAGATCAAGCCTAATATCGATCGGTCGCTGCTATCGATAGTCGGAGGCCCTGGATCGATAACGGCATTCCTACAAACAAGGGGTTATGACCATTGTTTTTGAATTAAAATTATAAAAATAATATTGTAAAAACTATAGAAAATTTATTTATAATTTTGTATTAAGCAAAAAATTAATTTGTTAAGCTTCTAATACACTGAGACAAAAATAAGAACATTAACATTTTATATCAAGTTGAAATGACTTTAAATAGTTTGTGTGCAAAGGGGTAAGTATTGAAAACTAAATTAATTTAATACATTTAAAAATGCCATATGAAAGTGTCCTTTTCATTTTAAATTTGAGAAATGAACTAAATAAAATATTGAATATTAAACAAAACCTGTCCATCTATAAACTGTTGTTTATGAATTAATAAGAACATGCTGGAAAAACTAGAAATTTCCAAAAGGAACATCTGAAAAGCGAAAGGAATTGATGAATCATAACCTTTACTAAAAAGTGTATTTCCACGGACATTTATAGAAAAAAGTTTAGTTAATAAACTTGATAAGTAAAAAATTAAATGCGTTTTGTTATATTTTTTTGTGTCATGATTAGAGAATCGGAATTAAATGAAAACAGCCAACTTAAGTACTTGAATCGATATTCGAAATTTGCTTTGTACATTGTGCAAATTTGGTGATAAGATTACATGTGGAATAAATAATTCCATTAACAGAAGAGTGAAGAGTGGAGCCTCCTTGTCCAGGGTAACTAGTTAAATAACTATTTCAGAGGGCAAAGCTTATCCGTGAAGAAAAGAGCCTCCTTCAGCTTGGCCTTGTCCGCCTCGTCCAGGAGTGCCTTGGCCTGCTCAATGTCCGCCCGAATGGCGGCAATCAGCGACTCCAGGGAGTCGAAACTACGCTCGGATCGCAAGAATCCGACAATGCATATCTTAAGTATCTGTCCGTAAAGGTCGCAGTTAAAGTTGTGCAGCATGTGCGTCTCGACGCTCTTCTCCTTGTTGCTATAGTAGGGATTCCAGCCGATGCTAAGGACCATTTTGTAAACGGGTCCATTGTCCACGTTCGCCCAGCCGTAGTAAGCACCCGTGGGTAGTGATTCCGGCAGGGATTTCACCACCTCCAGCGGAAAGTTAGCTAACAAGTGTTTTGGTTATCAATTAGCAATGACCTTCGGGGTTCACCTGACGTCGCTACCAACCTGTTGGGATGCCCAGCTCCTTGGAGCCGCGTCCAAAACCACGGACGATTTCGCCGCTAGCATAGAGGGGTAGTTGGCTCAGCATTTCCCGAATTTCCCTGGACTCTAACCCTGATGTGCTGCGGTGGCGTTTGATATGACTTCCCCAGACCAACAGGCGGTTGATTTGCGCTATTCTTTGTGACCGCAAAGCGTAGCGGGCTAATTTATCGAGATTGGCGAAGAATCAAGCAGGGTTCTCTACAGAGCTCGTTGTTATAACTTCCTAGCCACTCACATAACTACTACTTTTCCCATTGATCAGCACAGTATTCACAAGCATAGACATTCAGACAATGTTCGCATTCAGAAAGTTAATCAGTCAGCTGTTTGCCATGGAGCTGCCAACTTTTAAAAGTTTTTCGGTGCAGTCGCGTAGAAAACTTTTTTGTGAGAGGGTTTGCCATTTCTGTCGGGGCACGAAAAAATATATTTTAACTAATAAATAAAAATAATTATAGTAATAATTATAGTAATAATTATTTTTCAATCAATTTTGTCTGTGGTATAGCCCAGTAAGACATTCTTGTCATACTTTTTAAGTGCAAAACTACATTTTAAAAGTGGTAAATTTGTATAGTTTCCACAGGTTTTAAAAATAAACCATTTTTACACAAACAGTTTTGGTATATCCTACCTTTTTTACTTTAACAGTAATTTAAAAATAATATCAAATTAGAAATTAACTCGCAGTGCAAAACTATATATGTAAAAAATATCTCAAATGGCAAGTAAAAATGTTAAATTTTCATTTTCTTGCCATCATTTTTTGTAAATTCATGTACATTTAAATATTTTAGAATCATGTAAATTTCAATTTGTTTTTATTAATATTGAAAAACTATCTTTGAGAATAATATAATACAACAAAATTTGAAGCAAATAAAATTAAAAAGCAAACATACATATGTACATATACATACATATGTACATATATAAGATACTCTCCTTCATCCCCCGATGGCCCCACCTTTGTCACAAAATGAACTGTTCATTATGAAATACTAGCGATGAGTTTATTAAAACTATTGTAAAGACCTAGTCTACAGGGTATTTCGAAACCTCACAAGATGTCGATTTTCAATTGATAAAACACCGTATTCTGTTTTTATTGAAACAGAGTGCTATTTGAGAGTGTTTAGCTTGGAGATATATTGATCATGAAGATCATGAATAACGTATGCCGGATTTGTATGGACAAGACTGGCACTCTGGTGTATATCTTCACCGATGTCCGAGATCTGGACCTTAACGAGTTAAAGGTGAGCCTCTCAGACATACTGGCCCAGTGCACCAATCGCCCAGTGGGACGTGGCGACCAACTGCCTCAGTACGTTTGTCTGTCCTGTGCCCTAGCCGCCCAGATCGCCTTTCGGTTCAAGTGGAAGAGTGAACGGAGCTATCAGCACTTCTGCCACGTTCTTAACAAGCCATGTTTTCCGGAAAACAAGAAGGAAAGGGATCGTCATGAGGATCAAACGAACTGTCACAACGATCAGGATAAAAAGCAGAAGCCGATCCAAGCAGATCGGCATAATCATCAACAGCAGAAACCGCGAACACATATCAAAGATAATCATGCAGATGTTCCTGCTGAATCTTGTTTTATCCCAAATCTTCACAAGAGGCCTACTCGAAGCGCAGAAAAGCCAGTTCAGTCCCACAAACTGACTCCAGGGTAAGAAAAATTTGCAAAATGATTTAATTAGTGTTTTACATAAATTCTTTGAAAATCCCTGTCCTATATTACTAGAAAATAACAAAAATGCATACAAAATAATACATATATACAAAAAACAAGAAAGGAAAGCTAACTTCGGGCGGAGTCGAAGTTGTTATACCCTTGCAGAATACTCTGTAAATTATATTCTCCAAAATTATTCATATGATGCATTCTTAATACTCATAAAAAATCCCAACTTCCTAACTAAACAAACACCAAAGTTATGGCATTTCCAATCGTTCAGTTAGGATATAGTCGGCCGATCCTTATGAAATTTGGTAGGCCGGATTGATTGGCCAAAAATAAAACCCATAGAAAATCCCAACTTCCTTACTTAACAAACACCAAAGTTATGGCATTTCCGATTAATCAGTTATATGGCAGCTATAGGATATAGTCGTCCGGTCCTCATGAAATTTGGTAGGTCGGATTGATTGGCCAAATATAAGACCCATAGCATTGAAACAAATGAATTATTGTTAAGTTTCTTTAAGTTTTTTAAAAATAAATTTAAGTTTGAAAGATTACTTATTCTACCACTATAAATTTTTATACCCTTGCAGAGGGTATTATAATTTTGGTCAAAAGTGTGCAACGCAGTGAAGGAGACATCTCCGACCATATAAAGTATATATATTCTTGATCAGGATCACCTCCTGAGTTGATATAAGCATGTCCGTCTGTCCGTCTGTCCGTCTGTCCGTCTGTCCGTCCGTCCGTCTGTCCGTCTGTCCGTCTGTCCGTCTGTCTGTCCGTCTGTCTGTTTCTACGCGAACTAGTCTCTCAGTTTTAAAGATATCGAATTGAAACTTTGCACACACCCTTCTTTCCTTTGCACGCAGTATATAAGTCGGAACGGCCGGGATCGGCCGACTATATCCTATAGCTGCCATATAACTGAACGATCGGAAATGCCATAACTTTGGTGTTTTTAAAGTTAGGAAGTTGGGATTTTCTATGGGTTTTACATTTGGCCAATCAATTTGACGTACCAAATTTTATAAGGATCGGCCCACTATATCCTATAGCTGCCATATAACTGAACGATCGGAAATGCCACAACTTTGGTGTTTGTAAAGTTAGGAAGTTGGGATTTTCTATGTGTTTTGTATTTGGCCAATTAATTTGACGTACCAAATTTTATAAGGATCGGCCGACTATATCCTATAGCTGCCATATAACTGATTGATCGGAAATGCCATAACTTTGGTGTTTGTAAAGTTAGGAAGTTGGGATTTTCTATGGGTTTTGTATTTGGCCAATCAATTTGACGTACCAATTTTTATAAGGATCGACCGACTATATCCTATAGCTGCCATATAACTGATTGATCGGAAATGCCATAACTTTGGTGTTTGTAAAGTTAGGAAGTTGGGATTTTTTATGAGTATTAAGAATGCATCATATGAATAATTTTGGAAAATATAATTTACAGAGTATTCTGCAAGGGTATATCAACTTCGGCTCCGCCCGAAGTTAGCTTTCCTTTCTTGTTTTATCAATCTTTGTTTTATGTTCATTTAATTTCCTACAGTTGATTATACAATACAATTTGATATATAATCCATTTTTTTTTTAAACTATAACTGGTTTCTGATATTCCTAACTGCCGCAGTTATTTTTAAAGTTTTCAATAAATAAATGAATATCCCCATTTTTTTGGGCATGTTTGGCTCTTAAATTACAAACACTATTTTTGGTTACGAGGGCAACCCACTCAAAAAGATTCAACTTTTTATTAAGATGTCAGACCCAGCGTTTTATACCCGTTACACGTGATTATTTTAGAAAAATATTAGGAATATAAGTGTTAATTATGACGGAAATGCGTTTAATACCCGCTACTCGTGATTATTTTAGAAAAGTATTAGGAATATAAGTGTTAATTATGACGGCAATGAAAATTTAAAAAAGGGAGTTCATATATTTGAGGGAGCGAAAGAATTGGGCTCTTTTAGATTCTCTATCGAAATGTGGAATCAGCGGGGGGCACAATTTTTTTTGAAATTGCTAATCCAACTAATGGTTTTTTTCAAGGCACTCGACAAAAGCGTTACTTTTTGTTTTATTATCCTCGGCAGTAATTTCTAAATTAAATATTTATTTTTGTATACCCAGTGAAAGTGTCATTTCCGACCCTTTAAACTATATATGTATGTATATATGTATGTATTCTTGATCAGCATCATCAGGAGTGTCGGTCTAGCCATGTCCGTCCGTCTGTCCGTCCGTCCGAATTAGTCTATGAAGTGGAACATTTTGTTTTCTCCAAAAAGTCTTCCAGTCCACTAAGTTAAAGCTATAGATTTTTTCGGTATATCACTCGTTCCTATTGAATTACCATAGCAGATTTTTATTTTTGCATGTATATGCACATATATATGTACATATATAAAGGGTTAAGGCAGAACCAGGCAGCTAGTATATACATTTCCGTCGTTGTGAATGGTATTCAACGATCGAGAGAACAGCTGAGACAGAAATCGGAGAAGGAAGATCTATTCGCAGAAGGAAGTCGTAAGAAGCGTTCGCATAAAAAGTCGTAAAAGTTGTTTCAGTTGCTTAAGTTGTAATTGCAAGTTAAACACGTTGCTGTAAACATTGTTCATTTATTTAATATCTCAGCGTACTATTAATTTAAATAAACCGTTTGTAATACCAACTTTACTTGTGTCTTGCAGTCCACAGTGTACTGCCTTTCAGACTGAGTCGGATTTCACGAATACATGCAGTGACAAACTTAATTATTGGCACAGCAAGCATGTTAAACTTTGAGGCTATTTTTCTTCTTATAATATGCTGATATTAAAATAAAACAAAATATTTTTAGATAGAATCATTAATTTTATGTTAAATACAAGTGACTTCATTAATTTATCTTTTATAAATAATTTATTAAAAATAAAAAACCAAAGAATGGACCAAATTTGCCTGAACCAAATTATTGGCACACTTGGGTTTTAATTAACTATTTTGTTAAAACTTTATCGATTTGGCCACTTTTTTTTTAATTATCACATTTGCATCTATAATCTTAATGGTATAATGATTAATTTTATAGCTAAAATTGTTTTAGTGCCTTAAAATAAAGGAAAAGTTGTTTGACTTTACAAGGTAAAAATAAAATCAACCGCATGTGTCCAAAAATTAAAATTTAATAAGCAGGATCAATGCAAATCGAAAGTCAACATTGGGGAAAGGATGCCCAGAAGCCATTTTTCCCATTCGGAGTCCTTTGCTACATTTTAAAGGACCCACGCAGTTGCAAAATGCAGGGCACACTGGCTAATCCATGGCTTTGAGAGGCCAGGAAAGCGTAAGGATCGTATAAAAGGACAATGTCAACCCCCAGATCTTCTCAACACGTATCGAAGTTGATGATAACAAGGACTTTGGTAAGGATATTCACCCAACAGCCTTTTTTTAGGCCCTGCATGATGGTTTCTACAAACGAATTGAACATAGAAAAAATCTATAGATCTTAAAAGTCAAAAACAACCTTTTAGTGCAGCGAAATTTATATCTGAGTATGCCAATCGACTTTTGGGTCCTTTCAACCTTCTCGTATGATTTAATTATCCTTTCCCCAAGCAAAGAGCTTATGTTAGAACCCTTTTCAAGCCGATGGATTTTTTCTACGAGCAATTCGTTTGTAGAAACCATCATGCAGGGCCTAAAAAAAGGCTGTTGGGTGAATATCCTTACCAAAGTCCTTGTTATCATCAACTTCGATACGTGTTGAGAAGATCTGGGGGTTGACATTGTCCTTTTATACGATCCTTACGCTTTCCTGGCCTCTCAAAGCCATGGATTAGCCAGTGTGCCCTGCATTTTGCAACTGCGTGGGTCCTTTAAAATGTAGCAAAGGACTCCGAATGGGAAAAATGGCTTCTGGGCATCCTTTCCCCAATGTTGACTTTCGATTTGCATTGATCCTGCTTATTAAATTTTAATTTTTGGACACATGCGGTTGATTTTATTTTTACCTTGTAAAGTCAAACAACTTTTCCTTTATTTTAAGGCACTAAAACAATTTTAGCTATAAAATTAATCATTATACCATTAAGATTATAGAGGCAAATGTGATAATTAAAAAAAGTGGCCAAATCGATAAAGTTTTAACAAAATAGTTAATTAAAACCCAAGTGTGCCAATAATTTGGTTCAGGCAAATTTGGTCCATTCTTTGGTTTTTTATTTTTAATAAATTATTTATAAAAGATAAATTAATGAAGTCACTTGTATTTAACATAAAATTAATGATTCTATCTAAAAATATTTTGTTTTATTTTAATATCAGCATATTATAAGAAGAAAAATAGCCTCAAAGTTTAACATGCTTGCTGTGCCAATAATTAAGTTTGTCACTGTATGTATGTACATGTATTACAATTGCGGCAGATTGCAGCAGCACCTGATGTAAGGGAAACAGCGATTCTGCGGTACGTTGTAAACGGACTAGTTCATATAAAGAACGAGTATAAGGCTATTATTTACTCTTGATTACACTTATTCTTTATTCTTGAAATTACTCAAAGATCAGTATGACATCATAGACAAACTAGACGACAAGCCTCGTAGTTCCTTTGCCGGTCTCCGACAAAGTGCTTTCAGTGCAACGAAAATGGTCATACAGTCATGGAAAAAATAATAGAAAAGACCATTTTTTTTCGTATTTTTCAAACTTTTCTTCAGTCAATTTTTTTTTTTTAAGTTTAATAATTTTGATTTATAGTCGATTCAACTATGTGTCAAAATATACCAAAAGAATAAATTTCAAAAAACCTTATGAACTAAAAAATAATTTTTTAAATTTTTAGGCCTGGAAAAAATAATAGAAACGACTGAGTTAATTCAATGAAAAACAGTTTTGTAGCTTCAAAGCCTATTAGTTTAGATGGTAACTTTAATATATAGTTGTGTCACCGCTATTTTTAATGACTTTGGTTCAGCGGTGTCC